TGCCTGTTGAAATCTGTGCTTTTACCGTCTGCAACTCGAGAGCACTTCGAGATATTTGGCCCTCAATGTTTGATGGCGATTTTCGCGGTGTAAATTGAATATTTCGAAAAATCTGATATCACCATCGGATAGCTGAGAAAATTTCCTATCGAATACAGTAGTCAGTTACTTTTTTCAGATGAGTTTTGATACTTTTTCAACGACTTGGAAATCGAGTAATAAGCTGTATTTGCGTGAAAAGATTTTCAAATTTCATGTTCACGCGTTTTTTCCCCTCCTAGAGGTCCTAGGAGTAATTTGCGGGGGTCCGGGCCGCCAGGCACCCCAAACAAATTTCACCTTTTAACGAAACGGCATTTTATTTTTGGATTTGACCATATACGTGCGCCGAGTTTTGTTGCTCATTTTTTAGTCAGATTTCCCTGTCATAAATGATACATAGTATTTTTCTCATAAAGGATTAATTTTGCCAGTAATTGAACACCAGGTAGTTCTCGGATCCTACTATTTCGAGTCAATCAATTTTAGAGAAAAAACAAAATTAAAGATTTTATTAAATAGTTGAAATTCTCGAATTCTTGATTAAAATGTTTAATTGAAATTCTCGGGTTCTCGATCAATAGAATTCGGAAAAATAATATAAATTAAATATGAATTTAAATAGTTGAAATTCTGCGTTCTCGTTATCGAACGATTCGACAACTTTAACAAAAGTTCAACATTACTCTAAATTACACCAATCGTTTTCATTTCAATACAAGAGCTTTAAAAGTACATCTTAGTATTCAAAAGATGAGATCAAACAGAAGCAGTTCGAAAATTCGATTTTTCGATGTCTTTGCGGAAAACCTCATTACCCTGCGTATACGCACCAAACGAATAGCGGTTGGAGCTTTGCTGTCTGGAAAAACAGTATATATTTTTCTGGCGGAGAGAAATATAAACGAGGAAAAAATTTTCCATTTTTTGCGCAAAAAAAGGATTTAGTCTCCGAAGTTCGGCGCTTGACAAAAAGGCTATTTTCGTATAGTTCAATGGAAAAAAGATATACACCACGTATATTAAAGCCATCGTCGTCGTCGCGTATATATAATCCACACAGAGCACATATATAATACACGCGAGAGTGCGTACGGTAGGTGCGCGCTTTCCGGAAATGTACGAGTGTAAAAATAGCTCGACGCGTACATGTGTATCCAGTGTGTACCACCGCCGTCGCCATCGAGAAGCGATATATGTATAAGCTCGTGTCGGGGGTGTACACAATGCTCGTTAATGTACATAATAATATTATACATATCGTAATATTCGTCGTATATGATAACGGATACGCATTTTGTTCCCGGTAAATCCTTGTAACGACTCTGCCTCTCTTGAGCGAGGAAGTTCGTGCGGTGCGCACTTTCCAATCAGCCCTCGGTAGCTCGGAAGGAAGTCAGCGTGTAAGCTTGAATCAACATCTAGGTGATTGAGCTTGCAATGTTATCAAACCCATCCAATTTACGAACAGTAACTGTATCACGTAAAAAACTTGACTTTCTCAAAGATATGTAATATCGGCTCATCACTATCGTGATCATTGCGATCAGAGACGTTGAATATATATTACGAGATATATATGCATGTGACTTCGAGAACAAGTCGTCTTTGCACTTGAAATCCCTTCAAAGTTGTCGATCGAGCTTACGTCAGCTCGGTGAGCCGAAGCTTCAAATGTAATAGCTCGAGATGTGTTTATGCACGTATATAATGTGTGCGCGCACACACCAGCTTCTCGACTTGCCAGAATCAGAGAGAGAGAGAGAGAGAGAGAGAGAGAGAGCTTTATTTTAAGAGATGAAAAGAAAGAGGAAAATATTCGACACCTGTTTGGTAGTATGCCGAAAAATCGAGTCTTTTAGCCACATATATACGTATTATATACGGCTTCTTTTTCTTTCTTTTTGGAAAATACAGAGGAGAGAGATCTATTTTAAATATATGATCATCTAGTGGAGTTATATGGTGTTTTGCACACTGTCTGTCTACATGTGTGTGAGTTAACGATATTTGTTTTTTCTACTACGTTTTTTTTCTCATTCTTTCTCTCTCTCTCTCTCTCTCTCTTTCTCTCTCTTCGAACTCGTTCAAAAAAAAAAAAAAAAACAAACGCCAACGGTATTACGTCGAAACACATTACTTTGGGCCACGCACGCAAAAGCTCGTGAAATAATACTCGCGCAAAAGCTCGGTCAAAAAAAGCCATGCGTGTTTTCTGCGATGTTCATATATTATGCACGATGCGTGCGTATATTACTTAGGTATAATAATATGCTATATATAAAATCGCTCGACTACGACGACGACGCGACGTCGCGATTATTCGCTCGGTGGTTCCCACTGCACCGACGACGATTCCATGGCCCAAAGCCAAAAATGCGAGATGAGAGAGAGAGAGAGAGAGAGAGACTCTGATTTTGCGCGCATACTGCGCGAGCTTGTAAAACTTATAATAATACTATACATGACTAAGACCTACAAACATTTGAGCGTCGAGCTAGTGCGAGTGAAATAATAAAAAAAATAAATAAAAAGAAGAATCAAAATTGATATTTAGCAGCTCTAGACGAGCGAGAAAAAGAAAGAGAGATAACGGTTTAACGACGACAAGTGTGTTATGTCCGGCATTAAAAATCGCGAAGCTCGTAATTTTCGATTTCATCGCCTCGAATAATACGGAATTTTTTTAACAACGAATTGGTATCTGATTTTTAATTCGAGAAGCTCTCAGCTTTTGAGAAAAACGTCCATCACTAATCCCGAATCGTCAACTTTTGCATCCAGGCAGAAAAAAAAATAAGAATAACAAGTGTTATGAGTGGTCGGTGGGCTCGAAAACGATTGGGCGAAAGCCGTAGGCTACGAGAAAGGGAGCTTTTATATGTGTACATACGAGCGAGTGCGGTATCCGGCGACGTGTGCCATACTGCCTCTCTCTCTCTCTCTCTCTCGCATGTAAAAGTGTGTGTATGTAGCTGTGCCTTGCTTGTGTATGCGCGCGCGCAGGACCGTCAAAAATAGAACATGCGAATCTTGCTTTGCTTTGCGGCAGCGACAGCGGGGTCGACGTTATCGTCACTTCTCGTACCCACTTGCACACGCCGCGCGAATACGTATAGTATTTCGCACGGATTGCAGCGCTGATTATTTTATACGTACGTGTACTTCGAGGCTTCGCGGCTATTTTCGCGATGTTTTTTCCTCGCGCTCGAAAAATGTTACGATTTCGAAGCTATTTCGAAGCCTGCGAGAAATTCGATGCATTCGATACATAATCGGCTACTATATGTAATCGCGAGTCGATGGGTTCACGCGACTAACGTAATGATAATAATAACAGCTATATTCAACGAATAGTTGGCTTTGTCTCACCTGTTGCGCTCGATGCCACCGCCGCGAGAAGCCGAGAATATACCTTGTGCGTAACGTGTCGCCCGCGCGAGATCGCATCAATTGGATCCGAATCAAGAGTTCGTCTAGGTGCTGAGGGGGGGTTTCGTATGCATTGGAAGGTCCCACAAAAAACGAAGTGTATTTCTACGTATTTTGACCCGCTGAATCCGAATTTTCAACTCTCACCTCGCTCGGATGGTCGAGTAATTTGTGATAAACAAATTAATTGTTTATAAGGCTATAACTCCTAAACTATTGAATTTTTACCAAAACAATTTCATTTTATTGTACACAAAAAGACAAAACTTTCCTTTTTTCATTCGTCTTGATACGATCAGTAGAACCGGAGATATTATTAGTGAAAAATGGTGGTAGATGAACGATATACGGACGCGGCAGTCCGAGCTCTACGCATTGACCTTATGCAATATCGTCATTTTTTACTATTTTAACGATATCATCGGTTCGTAGTAAGACGAATAAAAAAAGGAAATTTTTGTCTTTTTGTGTACAATAAAATGAAATTGTTTTGGTAAAAATTCAATAGTTTAGGAGTTATATCCGTATAAACAATTAATTAAAACTGAGCGAGGTGAGAGTTGAACATTCGGATTCAGCGGGTCAAAATACGTAGAAATACACTTCGTTTTTTGTGGGACGACGATAATACATCGCTAATGTAATGTATATAACTTGGAACCCTCGAACGAGCTTTCTCAATTGATTTTATGTACAATTAAAAAAGAATCGACGGTCGTATCAAGTGCCCATTTCAGGGATAGATACGCGTGCCGTTCGACGCGATTTATGTTCAATTTGAAAATATAGCGTATCATAGACTCGTAACTCGTATCATGTAGTCTCGCGCGCGTCAACGAGAGTAAGGAGTAGAAGGGGGACAGGGGAGACATTTAAAAAACTTTACGACCCTTCTTAATACACATGTTTATATCGTACGGTAGCAGCCGCGTATACGATCGCAATGTTTTTTAAATATATGCGCGGTGCATGTGTGCGTGCAGCTACGCTACACCATGTGCGAGTCGTGTGCGCTATTATAATTATTATTGGGACCCACTCGGTGTGGGTGCGGGTGCGCCGGGCGAGCCGATCAGGCACGTATACAGTATATTATTACGAGGCACGAGGCTCGAAAAACAGCTGCGGGGGAGGAGTCATAATTCTCGCTCGGCTCCGCGCACGCATTACTCCATATATTCACTTTTCATCTCCGACTATATTATACCGAAGACGACGATGCTCGCTCGTGTGCTTTTTCTGCGCTCGCTCTCGGCTTGGTGGTGGTGGTGGTGGTGGTGGTGGTGCGATATGTATAAATATAGAGTAATGCAATACCAATGTGACTGACTGTGTGTCTCACACACACACGCATACACTGACTCACATTTATATGTATACAGAGGCACAGAGAGAGAGACGAAATTTCACGTTGTATTTGTATACCTATATACACGCGCGCACACACAGACGGCATACGCAGTAGTCGGTCTTAGAAAACCGACGAAGTAGGGGCGGCTCGATATAGCTATATGTAGGCCCGACGACGCGTACCGGACTACCACTTGGCCACCGGCCCTCGTTCGGTTCACTTGTAGGATTTTCGGCAATACATAAGATCGCGGCGGCGCACACGACGCATCGGCGCAGAGGTGCAGCAGCAGCAGCAGCAGCAGCAGACGAAAAGAAACCAATCGATAAAAAAAAAAAGAAAGAAAAAATATAACAACCATTTTTTAGTGAAGCTTTTGTTGTTGTTGTTATTGTTCTTGTTATCCGGTGGTTGTTGTTTTCTACGTATATAGTTGCTTGGACGATCAGCGATAATTTGAACGATCTCATCTTTCCTACCCTCTTGGTGACAATATAATAAAAAATAGATGAATTGTGAGGTGCAACAACGCGAGTCCTGCAAAGATATGCAGCAGTCGTATCTGCTGCCAAGCCGGCGTTATGAGAGCAGCAGCAGCACCGAGTTCAATCGCAATAATTGCATCAATCGAAGAATCGGTAAGTGTCCACAGCTACAAGAGCTTTTTTTATCGCTATTATAATTTCAATGCGTAATATGCAATAATCGTCGTGAAAAAGTCTTGCTTTACATCAAAATCGTCGTCATCTCGTTTGCAATTATCCATTGGCCCCTGAAACCCACCTCAGCCTCCTGTTGATCGTAAGGAGGTTAGATTATTTTGCCATTATTATAATGTGTCACGCGTCCTCTCGCGGATCGTCGTTTCTTTTTTTTCCCCATTTTTCTCCTCTCGGCGAAGCTTTCGTCGCGAGCGCGCAAGCACGTTGCAAAATATTGAGTAATGTAATACGTGCAAAAGTCACGCAGGAAATTTCTTGATTGAGATTCTATCTCGAGACGAGAAAAGAAAGTATACGTCGAAGTAAAAAAAAAGAAACAGCGAAAAAGAAAAAAAAATTGTTGCAGTAAGTACACGCGTAAATACGTACATGCGTACGCCCAAGTAAAGGAAGGAAAAAGTGTGTGTGTGCGAACGAAACGAGGCGCGATTCCTCCTCGTCCGGGAGGCCACAAATAGGATTTTACGTGCCGCGAAAAAAGAAAGAGCAGCAGCGGTAGCGGTGGCTTTACCCCGACGCATTTCCACGTAGATCTTAAATAGACAATCTTGTTTTTTCATCTCTGCGGGGCCCGCAGCGGTGTGCGAATAACTCGGTCGATCTTCTATCCCTCTCTCTCTCTCTCTTTATCACTCTCATGGCAAAGGTCTCAACTTACGTTGAAAATTAAAATCCAAGAAAAGTCATCTTCGTATCTCGAATCGTACATTCTATTTAATTAAAAAGATGATCTTACAAGAATCACTGCAGGGAAAAGCATGCTTGCTATATATCATCATTGTAGCGCGCGTGGAAAAACACCTTGCCCGCTAACAACAAGTTGCGCGAATGTGTGTCTGTGTCGGGGCGCCTTTGCAAAATCTATATAGATCGGCTCTGGCTCGGCTTACGCGAGAGAAAAGCTCGCCGCTCGGCTAAAAGCTCTCTTTCTCTCTCCGTCTCTCTCTTTCCTCGGCGCATGCCGAGAGCCATTCAACTCCCCGCACTGCTGCCGCTGCAGAGGCGGTCGCCGCTGAGCATAGCATATATTTCTCTCTCTCTCTCTCCCTCAGAGAGAGAGAGAGTCAGCAGCAAAGCGCACGAGAGTATCGCTATTTTTGGGCTTCGCTAAAAGAGGAACGCGACTCGAGCAGCAGCACATCGTCGAGGTGGTATTATATACTTTCGAGAGTTGCTCTGTACGTGTGTTACTTCTCTCTATCTCTCTCTCTCTCTTTCGCTAAACACACCGGCGACTTGTCTGTCTGTCTGTCTATCTCTGCCGCTGCTGCGAGTTGGACGTGACGAGTTACATAATTAATTTTTTTTTTCTTAACTTCTCTTTCGTTTTCCGCTCTTAGATTAACTTCTATTTGATGTATACACACTCGAAGAGAGAGAGAGAAACTATGAAGAGTAAGTTTGGCTTGACGACGTATTTATGATTTAAATTTAGATGGATGTATGGTGGAATCGATCGATGTTAGGTCAACATCCATCCCACGCGCGAAAGAGACAGAGAAAATTAGATTAAATCGCTGTCAAATCAAGTACATGTTATATAAATATGAAGATTTATAGACCAAAGATAGAGAGATGCTGCTAATTCATTCGATGAAATTGGATTTCTCTGGATTCGAGCCAAAATCGAAAGATTAGTTGCCAAATTTTGCTCGTCGATATATACGAAATTTCTGCATGCACAAAAACCACCTTGCGCGACCGCGAGCCGCGAGACTCGCTGCAAAATCGGTAAAATATCGAAAGCTCAAGCTCGTATCGAGATTATTCAAAACCATTACCAAAGGGAGCACTTGAAAATATCGACGTAAATATCAAACGAACGTCTGATTCTTGTTCCAGACTACAGCAGCGTGAGCTCGGAGCAGCAGTATCGTCACTCGACCTCCGACGGGGCGAGCGAGTGCGGCAGCGACAACAGCTCCAACGCCAGCGACTGCTGTCCCGACGAACTGTTCAATCTGACGCAGTTGGCCGAGGTGTGCGCGGCCGCCGGCACACTCGTCCATCCGCTGGTCAGCAGGTTCGAGCGTTATCAACATCATCATCATCATAATAATGCCCAGCAGCAGCAGCAAAACGAATCTGCGGCCGGTGGGAGCTTTAAGTTGGAGCCGGAATTCATTAAGGTGAGTTGAGGATCTTCATCTGATTCGGGAAAAATCGTCAACGTTTATTTATTATTATTATTTATTTATTTATTTATTTTTTTTTCATAGATCGAAGAGCCATCACGAGTAAATGACTGCTCGAACAGTAACAGCAACAGCAGCAGTACTAGCAGCAGTTCGGAAACTCCCAAAGAGTCCGACGGTCCTTTGACCAGTAACCAGCAACAACAAATCGACAATAGTAACGGCAATGGCCAGCAAGCGGAGGAGGAGCACGAGTGCCCGGACTGCTCGAAAAAGTACTCGACCTCGTCGAATCTGGCCAGACACCGGCAGACCCATCGCTCGCCGGGCGACAAGAAGGCCAAGCGCTGCCCCCACTGCGACAAGATCTACGTGAGCATACCGGCCTACAGCATGCACGTACGCACGCACAATCAGGGCTGCGAGTGCAAGTTCTGCGGCAAGCGTTTCTCCAGGCCGTGGCTGCTGCAGGGACACATACGCACTCACACGGGTAAGCGAGCAACGGAAATATAATAAACAATACCGAGTAAATAAAAATGTGCAGCGACCAAACTCTCATTTTCCTGTTATAATAGGTGAAAAGCCGTTCAAATGCAACGTCTGCAGCAAGGCCTTCGCCGACAAGTCGAATCTGCGCGCCCACGTGCAGACCCACTCGAATCTCAAGCCGCACGTGTGCTCGCGCTGCAACAAGGCCTTCGCCCTCAAGTCCTATCTCTACAAGCACGAGGAGTCGTCCTGCATGAGATCGCAGAGGCGAGACTCGCCGAGGTTAGCCTCGTCGTCGTCGTCGTCGTCGCCGTCCACTTCTTCCACCGCCACGAGTACGATACCATCGACGACGACGACGACGAGCAGCGGTAAAAATGGCCAACCTACTAGTGTCATCGTACAGAGGCCGAGTTTCGACGACGATTCGATAACGAGAGCAAAAAAGGACAACAACGCCATGGTCATAAGGACGTCTGTGATATCGCCCAATCCCGAGCATCATTTGACCTGCAACAATAATAACAACATTAGTAACAATAACAATAACAACAGCAAAAAGGTGCTGCAGCCTTTTGATCTCAGCGATCCCAACAGGGTGTCTGCTTTCTCGAGACCGCAGAGCTTTACCATGAATCTCAGCATTGCCTGATTTCCTACTAAGCTGCCATTTATACCTGAATATCATATTCTTTTTTTTTTCTTTATTTAAACTTGGACTTTGGGGAAAGAATGTTTTTTTCATTGTAAATAAGCGCATGGATAATTACTTGTTACTGTTATTATAATTATCACTGTCTCAAAAAGTGCCTTCCTCTCATCGGTACACTCACTGAAAAGTGCAATTGAATTTGTCTAAATTTTTACGTATATTATATTTATTTATTATATAGCGTTAAGATATATTCCAAATAAGTAAGTTAGACAGCCGGAGGTGTGGTCGTGTAATCTTGCCAACTTTCGCGTGTTTAATGCACTTCGGCAATTGAGTACCTTGAAATTGCAATATTGAAGGTGAAAATTAAAACTTTCAATCAAATTTTCATGAATTTTCTGTGGTTACTCATGTATTTTTGAGAATAATTTCAGATAATAAAATTGCAAGTATTAATTTTCACCAGTTGAGCTTTCAGCTCTAACGGTGCCTTCTGAAATACGTAAGCAACCCCTAGAAATTATCCATAAGTTAATCTACGTTTAATCGTCAATTTGTACATATCACTTAGTTCATAAGACTCAGCTGTTTAACGGGGGTGAATTCCCACTGTGCAGCAAATCATACAGCTCGACAAAGCCAATGATAACGTATATTTATAATAAGTAACTAACGGAGCTTTTGCGGCTCGTTGCCCATTTATCGAGCAGCTACACAAGGCCGTACATTGCAACAATTTGTTTTAAAGTTTCTTCCTTTTTTTTTCTTCTTTTAATTTTTTTTTCCTCTTTTTACTTTTAATTGTACGACGACGGTGGTTGGGCGTGTCATCGCGCATCGCCTTCAACAGCGAGTGTATAAACTAGTCAAACTTGTTTTTCTCCGATTTTGTTTTTTCTCTGTCGATATTTCACGGGAAAGTTTGACTCTTGCCAAAATTTGGTTTCTACGATCGAGTGACAATATGGCTTGATTGTAGAAGTATAGAAATCATAATTTATATTAGATGATAGGATTAATGTTTATAAGTTTGTGAGGTACGTCGAATATTGAGTTCACTATCGTTTAAGTAAATTTTTGATAGTTAAGCTTTATTGTATTTAGTTAACTTTAATGTTTTTTTCTCTGGATTCATGCGTAGAAGTCCGATCGATGATGTTAGATTTATGTAACAAAAAAATTGATTATTCAAAAAAAAAAAAAAAAAAAAAAAAAAAANGTTTAAAAAAAAAAAAAAAAAAGAAAAAAAATGACGAAACATATGAATTGTACGACAAGTTAATTATTGCGTGAATGTTTCTATAATTTTTGTATCCTTTGCATAAGCCAAGTCAAATAGCATTCCTGTTGATATGAAAACGTATGATATGAAAAAAATATACAATATAATCCATCGAAAATCCGAGTTTGACTTCAAAGTGGCGTGTGAATCGAACTGAAATTCATTTGTGTTCTTATATAGGTACCAACATTTTGTTATATTGAATCAATTGTTATATAAATAAAATACAAAAATTAATACTCGAAATTCGAATTATTTATTTCCCATATTTGAAAATTGTCATTACACGCAGCTGCAGGTTTGAACCTATGTTAGTACATACATATGCAGAAGAGCAAGTAAGAAAATTTGTACGTAGCGTACCTTGCAGTGCGCCGCACGTCGCCCTAACTCAATCTAATTTTGGACTTCTCGAACGCACACACACACACACACACACACACACACACACACACACACATACTGGCCTCATGCTGCACACGCTGCAAAAGCAAAAGCAAACGAACGAGCGGGGCATTTCTGTGATTTCAAGCCTTTCATTACTTACCTTGCTGCTGGTCTTAAGGAGAGAGAGCGAATTTAAATAGAAACGGGCGTAAATAAACATTTCACGGAATTGCAAATGCACAGTAGAGAGAGAGAGAGAGAGAGAGAGAGAGAGCTCGGGGCATTTTTCTGTTTTTGTACAACCTTATACTGCGAGAAAAAAAATATTTTTCGGTTTTTTAAAGAAATGTATTTATTCAATTGATATCTAGTTAATCCCAAGGAGATGTTTGTTTCAGTGTCACCTGCGCATGTCGTACAGCTTTGTAAAAGCAAAAGAGATTTCGGTAATTTCAAGCTCTTTTCATTATACTACGTTTTCGCTGAGTTAAAGGAGAGAGAGAGAGAACGTGCATTCGAATCGACAAAGGCGTAAATAGACCTTTCAGAGAATCGCAAAAGCGGAAGCACATCGAGCTATATACAACAAATACAAATGTAAATTTTATTATGAAAGAAAATTACTGGAATACGCATAAGCGATAAAAATTAGTAGATTTTCTTACAAGGGGGAGAAATGAAACTTCCGCATGCACGTGATAATGGCGCCGAGGCGAAGCCGAGGCGTCATATCACGTGTATGAGGGTGTTTCATTTTTCACCCGTGTAAGAAATAGTATTTTTTTCCATCCCCGCGCAAAAGTTTTCATAAAATTATCCAAATAGATTCAAAATAAAAAAATTAATTCAAGTTTTCAATGCCCATACGGACTTGCATTTGTTTTTTCTTTCGCATCGAGGTCTTGATTTGTCATCTGATTGTGCAGAAAACAAAGCGGTTATGGTTATTATTGACTTTTACATAAAATCAGTAATATGCGATGCGAATTCTTTTCCTTCACTTTTAGCATTGTGAGCGTAGCGAGTCATACTAAACTTTAAAATACGACTCTGTAATTACGATTCGAATTTTGATGCTCGCCCCGACATTAGCATCACGAGCGAAGCGAGTGATGCTGGTCGGGGGGGCGAGCATCAATAACTTTAATATAAAAAACACTTTTTCATTTTGACTTGTGTGTAACAAGTTACACACAACATTCTTTCTCGTCCGTAGACATACCATCATGCGCGAATGATATTTCAGGACTCTGCATAATTTTAACCACGTAATTAGTACATCTCTACGTATTGATGTGCCCGCGACAAATTGTAGGCTAAGTAATACGGGCGATAAAATTATTATCAATATTAAGTTGCTAGGCTGAGCTAGCCACAGCAACCACTGCATCTGTCGAACACGCAGAAGTGGGCAAAAGTACTTCTTTTTCTAGGCTACGCGTACGGCGAAAGTAAATACTTTTGCCGGAAGGATGGAAAAATATCGTACCAGCTTGCAACAATGAAATAGAATATTTCACCCCCTAGGGGCAAAATATACTATTACCTAATTAAATTAATTTACAGTTATAATGAACATCGTTTGTTTAAATCAAATTCTAACTAATTTTTTTATAATTTTTTTTTTATACTTTGCCAGCTAGGTGCTACCGCACCTCTTGATGTATAAATTACGTATTACAGTAAATAATTCATTATTGACTAATTAATTAAGTCAGGATAAAGGAAAACTTTGACATTGTCAAGATGGAAATTAATATAATTATTTGAATTTAACAAAACATTCGTGAATTTCAGTATGTAATTACTTCTAATCGACTAAATATTTATTAATACAAAATGTATCGATTTTTATTTTTTCGCTTTACGATCTTTCCGACCAAAATGCTCATCACGCCGTGAAAAGTGATGTCACGGATGGTCAATCACACACACTTATACTCTCGCCGAACTGGTTCGTCTTATAGCATACGAATTGTTCCAATGGGTCATGATTAGATACATAATATGTGGTATTATCGCAGCATTAACAGAGGCAGTGATGCAACAATGAGAATAATAATAATGACTCCTTTCTTGTGTGTAAGGCAATAATTGGGCCATCCTAGTGCGGGCGAAAGGGAAACAGTAGAGCATAAAACATACGAAGAGAGAGAGAGAGAGAGATATCCGGACCGAAAAGATCGAGCCTTGGATTCGATACGGCTCGGCTATTTCGATGGTGGCGCGGCTTCAAATGTCTTAGATGTGGTTTTATAGCGTTGCGTCCTATATGGGTGCAGTGCAGCACGTTTGGACACTGAATCTGCTCTATACGAGATTTACATCGGACCGATTTCATTGCGGGCTATGGATCAAAGCAAAAAGCATTCGAAGCTTCGAAATTGAATTCGAGTGTCCCGATGATCGTTGATTACAAGTGGGTCCAAATTAAATATTCTAATCTCGCATCAAGAGGCAGCTGTGAGATCAAAGGCTGCTCCATTTTATTTTTCGTTCATTTATGTATCAGCTATATTGACACATTACAAGCATGTCAAAGTTCATGCAGGGGTCAAAGAGTTTTAATATACCATGCGAATCTCTGCCTGCGTTTATGCTGATTATGTAAAGCTCTTCCTTTCCCGCAAAAAGCAGGAAAAAACTCCCAGCAAGCTTATCCCTTGTACACACAAACTGTCCAGCCATAAAATTGTATCCGATTAAACGCAGACGTCCGCATGGCCATGCCGTAACATTACATAAAAGCTCCCTTCGATAAATATACGAGTGTACGGATTGCGCCTGCTGCAGCGCTAATGCACAGACGCCGATGCAGTAACGGGCGGCTTATAAACGCGTATAAGTCGCTGCCGCTGCGCTCCTCGCAACGTCTCTATGGCTATTTCGACTATAAATAAAATTGCGATCGCGCGCGCGATTTTATAAAAGTCTCGGTGCATAGGTGTACGTATTATACGGACGGGAAGCTCTCCATAAGACATTAAGACAACGACGATGATCGTCTGGCGCGACGGCCAGCGTGTGCAATACTAAAAAGCCTACGCGTATTTTCACGGGTGGGGGATCTCGCGAATAAAATTTATAAAGGCCTACCATATACAAGTGTGTATCCGTGTGTGTGTGTGTGTGTGTGTGTGTGTGTGTGTGTGTGTGTGTGTGTATAAGGAGTGTATCGGCTGACTCGCGGCCTGTGTATAATGCATACTGCGTTGCGTCCCCCGCGCCTCGTTGTTGCAAGCCGCGAACGCGCACGGGAGGAGAGACCGCCAAGCGGACCGCGCACACGGATTACTCGCTCGCGCGAGCTCGCCAGCGAAGGAAAGAAACTTGTTGCGTTTGTTCTCTCGCGCTCTCTTGTATTTTAGATATAAATCAAGACGGTCAGTTCGGCTCTACGAGCGAGGGAAAGCGTCGTCGCGCAGCCATGCGTCTCGTTTTTCTCGGCCTGCTGCTGCTCGTGCTCGCCTGCTGCTCGACCCACGGCCAAGCTCAGCGCTATCATGTGAGTTTTTTTAATAAATATATTTTCATACTTAGGGCCATTCGTTTTATTACGTCTTTCTCGTGACTTTTTGTTTTATTTTTGACGCGGTCCGCAGCGCGAGATCGGTATATATTTTGGTGAACCGACGCAGCACACTCACACGCCTCCACGTCCATTACAAATTCGTCTGCTAGAATCGCGCACTGGACGTAATTATTGCACCGTGTGTTCGCTGCTGCAGTTACACCAGAAGAAAGTAAAAGTAGAAAAAAAAGAGAAACATTTTTCTTCTTACGTGCGTGAGAAAAGTGCACGAACGCAGTGACTGACACACAATGACGATTCATGGAACGAATAGATTAAACTATAATTGTAACAATGGATCGCGCGTGGACGTCACTTCTTCAATGACATTAAAATCATTTTTTAATACGCATAACACGCATCGCGTTGTTGGAACGCAAAAATCTTTACTATGCAAGAAGACGTCTTGAAAATGTGTACTCGCATCGAGAATATAGAGCCACGACACAAATTTTAAACACGGAAAACGGATTAAATTACTTGATTGATGCTGACACCTCCGAAAAAAAAGCTTTGGCGCTTCCCGCCTCGTGACACACTCTATATTATTATAATACTTCGCACTCGTTTCGCGCTCATCGTTTTACTCGTCTACATAAAATACCACTTCTGTTTGTTTATTTTGTCTCCTTCAAAATCCGCAAAAATATAGATGAATAATACCATTAAATCAAAGATGCTGTGTGTGTACATATGCAAAATCGCGCAAAGTGCTCTTTCCACGAAATGCTCGTGTATCTTTTTGCGCGCATTTGCCGCGCGAGACTTTGAAGTTCAGCATCGGGCTGAAAGACGCATAGCAGCGCAGCATCGATCAAGCCCGTAAAACGTATCGCGGCACGGATGTGCGTTTCACTCCTCGCGATGATTTCCCCCTTTTTCCGCCTGTATGTGTGTAACGAGAGCTGCCTCCGGCTAACAGCTGCAGCAGCACAACTTAATTCGCATTTACGATGATAGCTGACATACAGATATATAACGTAAACGGCAGTGCTATTCCTCGGACAGCGCAGACCGCGTGCGGCGTGATTAACGCTCGCGATGATATAGAATTGCTTTTTTTTTATTCTTTTCCGAGTCAAGGCAGCAGCGGCAGCGTTCCAGCTCATTTTATAATATATTATTATATTGCACCGTGGAAGCGTGTACTTATGTGTAACACATTCACTCGGCGAGACCCGCATATATTGTTATTCTTTTTTTTTTTCTTATAATATTTGCTATGGAACGCGCAAAATATTATGATGTAATAAAAAAAAAGAAAGAAAAAATGCATGTCGGCGTATTTCGCGCATGGATTTTGTAATTGCCGCGAGTCATAATTACGTAATTGATCGTTAACATTGAGCGAAAACACACGGAGAAAGATATATATTTTTTTTATAATTTGCTTTCATGCTCTCTTGATATAGGAAAAGACACGCTTCGATCGCTCGGTAAGCAGCGATCAGCTTCAACGGAAGCACAATAGACACCTGGAGATCAATAAGAAGCAGAGGACCATCACCGATCCGGCAACCGTAAGTGTCATCCATTATATTGTGATGTGCATTTTTAAATGAGTGATTATTCTCACGATAAATTGGTCGTTGTTTTTTGTTCTTTTCCCTCGCAGCAATTCACGGCTTACAAAGACTCTCATCTTAATGTCTGCTACTTGGAAAAGTTACAAGCCAATGAACTCGATGATGCAAAGCTGTGGATCGATATTATTCGTGGCCATAAAAAAGTCGTGTTCGCGACCAATCGTCCGTTGAAAAAGATAGAGGTAATTAGCGAATGATTATTTTCTATCTTAAATAAACATGTTACATGATTTATTATTGTTTGTTACACGAGACTGTATGAAGGTCACTTATCGATTCGCTTGAATTCGTCACAATCTTGTAGCATTACTTTCTAATGTATTTATCTAATGTTTGGTTCATAGGCATGGCATCTAGCTGGTCAAAAAATCGTCGACTTCTGCAAAGGCACGTCAATGTTCCTGTTGCAAGAGTCCATGCCGACTCGCTACGAGGATCCCGCGTTCAATCAGATACTCGAGGAAAAAATCACCATCGTGAAGAAAGCACCCCACGATGAAAGAGTCAAGCGCGAGGCCAAGGCGCGATTCCGCGGACAGACTCAGACTCAGTACATGAATCTCGGCGGCGATGGTCAAAATGAAGGCAGAGCAGAGGCCGAAGCGACTCTTCAGTCGTCCCATGCCGTTGTCAGTGAGTGCGTTAGACATTATAGTTTTCTTTATTAGCTATCAAATTATTAAGAAAAAAATGTACACTATGGAAGAATTGCGAATTTAATCATTTGTCTTCATTTCTTTAGCCGGAAGTAGCGGAATGGGTCAGGCGCAGAGCATGTCTTCCGGCTCCGACGGATGCGAGGGTTGCTTAGGAGTCAGTGGAACGTATCAAGGTTTTCCAACAGGTGTGGAGAATTAACCGATATCGCTTTTAAAGCTTTACACGCAGAGCATTTATTTAATCATTTGATGTGCGCTTGACTTGTTTCGACCAAGTTTACTAATGAGGCAGATGCAACAAGTAAAAACAAAAAAAAAAAACAAAAACAAATAAATAAAAGCGTATGGCAGATCTAGTATTGTATTGGCGCACGTTACTAATAGCAAATGTTATGTTTTGTGCAACAACAATTTTACACGTTTTTAACAAAAAAAAATAAAACGATAAAATTGAATATCTTTTTTGCATACTTTTTTCTTTTCTCACCTTTACACACGTACAGTCCTTTAATTCAGGTCTTAGGATGTACTATTTTATTTTTGAAGCACTTAGCAACCGAATTTATCTTAATCTCGTTAAGTGAGTGCAATTTCGAAATTATGTCAGTATACGCTGACGATAACTTAAAAAAAAATTAGGCCCAGCTGGAACGGTTACTGGAGGTAATCAGCAAACAGTGAGTCAGGGAAAAGTAGACGGTGGTGCTGGAACGGGAGTTGGAAGCGTTCCTGGAACTTACCCTGGTAGTACAGGGATAAATCAAGGAGGACAAACAAATCAAGGGGGTGGTACGACCCTATCAACAGGAAGCCAACCTAGAACTGATCCAAATGCAAATCGTCCTGGAATACAGATTCAGGGACAACCGGGTAGTCAAGTACCAGGTAATCAACCAGGTAATGACGATAAAAATACGTATTGGTGGTGGTGACAAGTATTTTATTAAATTGGACTATAAATTTGTATTAGGTCTTTATTATCCCCAAAATATTTATCCAAATGTATTATTACCTGGACAAAATCAAGGTGTAAATAGTTATGTACCAGGTAATAAGTTATTCAAATGTTTGAATAACTTTTATTAAAAAAGTTTATTTTAACAGGAACAATACCAGGAACACAGATTGTGAATGGTCAACAACCAGGTACAACCGTAATGTATCCAGGTACTCAAATGGTAGGATATCCAAGTACTCAAACTGGAGGAAATGTAGGGCAGCAGCTACCAAATGGAATGGTATATCCACCTACTCAACAAGTGGTAGGAGGTAACACACAAGTATCCACTGGTACAAGAGTAATCGGACAACAACCAGGTACTCAAATCGGAAATACAGGACAGTTGACTTATGGAACATGGCCTTATCCTGGTTTTCAACCAGCAGGAGGTGGAGTTGCGCAATATCCCGCAGGTGTGAATTACCCCAACACTCAGATTACAGGTGGAACAAGAGTGCAAGGATATCCCGGCGCTCAAACTAGCGGCGGTGGAACTACTATGACGATGTATCCGAGTACACAAGTAGTTGGCGGAGGTTCGCAAACGCCTGGCTTTGTAGGAAATGTGGGATATCCAGGAATGCAACAACCGGTACAACAGCCTACGGGAGTTTTTACTTATCCCCCTGGAACACAGTTTGTTCAGGGAGGTTCGAATATTCCACAGCAAAATGTAATCGGAACTTCCCCCGGTGGTGCTACGAATATTGCACCAGGTAAATATTATAATTCATCCATCGGATTGTATACAACATCAATTGTATCTGATCTAATAATAGTAATTGGTTAATTTCACACAGGTTATCAAACGGGTGGATCTCAAATACCTGGAACATCATACCCTGAATCGTATCCTGGAATTCAACAATCTAATGGACAAAGTAATTGACCAAAAAAAGTTATAGTGAAGTTTTTCGTAAATTTATATAAACTTCCTTGCAGTTCCACAAATGCCGGCTGGAAATTATCCAGTGTCTCAACCTGGAACTCAAATATCAGGTGGTGTTTCTGTTGGACAATATCCAATTTACGGGTACCCTGCATATCAAACCCCGAATGGTAAGTATTCCTGCAATTCATCTTTCGGCAGTTACAAGATCTCTAATTTATTGAGATGCACTGCTCGAAAAATTTTCTTTAAAATTAATGTAAAAGTAGAGGAAGTTTTTCCCCACGTGCATATGAATTCAATTTCATGTCAGATCATTCAAATTTAAAGATTTTTTCATGAATAATTTCACTTCTATGTAAAATTCATTTTGATTAAATTAGATTCATTGAGGCAAAGAAAAAAAACTTTATCCACATGTAGATTAACTTTGATTTAGTTATTTACAATATTCTATATTTCACATGAAAAGGGCCAATTAAATTGAAATGCTTACAGGCATTTGATAGCTGTACTAAGAAATTAATTGAAAACATTTATACAATTATTTCACTGTTTTACTTGCGGATTTGCAGATAATTTTACTCGACATCTAGTGATAGAGACTGGTTAATATTACGAAGTTAATTTATACTTTTACTTAAACCATTATTTTCACTTAGTCACTTGAAGATTTACATATAAAGGCACTCGCCATCTTCTGGTAGAGACTGACTTAAATTGTGAAATTTTTTAAAGTTTTTGATAAAATAACGCAAAAAGTAAATCGGCAGTGAAATATTAATTTTCGATGAAAACGCGCGTTTCAATTTTAGTATAGGAAAGAAATTTATTTTCCATTTTTGCATTAAAATTAATGCTTTTTTTACTCTTTTTGTTTAAAAAACAAATCAGTAAAAGTACGTCAATAAAATTCAATTATATTAATTATACTACAAATATTGTAAGGGGCTACAGGAACAGGAAGAACAACTACAGGTACCAATGTAGTTACAAATACAATTGGTAATATTTACTTTCAATACATGTAATATGATTAATAAGTAATTAGTTTATAATATTTATTCAAACGTAAGGTGGTACTGGTTCACAATTTGGCAACGATCAAAAACCTGTCATGCGAGGTGATATTCCTGGAACTAGTATTTATACAGATGGATCAAGTACTACGGGTGGAGACGTACCTGTAATTGTACCAGGTTCGTTGTATTAAACAAAGAAATTAATCTTCTTCCATTAGTATGCAGATGATAAATTATCTTGAATTTTTATTAGGTAACATGTTTCCTAGCAGTAATACTGGATCACAACCCAGTGGTGGTTACTATCCAGGAACGACGGGTACAACTGGTGGAACGGTATTAGTACCAGGCCAAGGAACTGGCAACATTTACACGGGCACTGCAGGTACGGTTGGAGGAACGGTAGTTTCACCTGGAAGTGGGACCGTCCAAATTCCAAGTCAAGGTTCAGGCACAGGAAGCTATTATCCGGGAACTACCGGCACATCTGGTGGAACAGTATTAAGACCAGGTCAAGTTCCAGGGACGGGGAATATTTATCCAGGCACAGTCGGAGGCACAGTAACGATGCCAGGTCAAGCTCCAGGAAATATGTATCCAGGAACTACAGGCATAGTCGGAGGAACGATATTAATGCCTGGTCAAATGCCAGGTAATATGTATCCAGGAACAACTGGCACGGTTGGAGGAACAGCATTAATGCCTGGTCAAATGCCAGGAAATGTATACCCAGGAACCACTGGTACAGTCGGAGGAACAGTATTAATGCCAGGTCAAGTACCAGGAGGAATATATCCAGGAACCACTGGCACCGTAGGAGGAACAGTATTAGTTCCAGGTCAATTTCCAAATAATGGAAATATGTATCCAACTAATACTGGTACCGTTGGTGGAACAGTGTATATACCAGGTCAAGGTTCTAATACTGGAACCATTAACACTGGTATAACAGGCACAGTCGGAGGAAGCGTTTATATACCTGGTCAAGTTCCGGGCTCTGGAAATGTAGGTCAACCTTTGGTTCCTGGAGGATATCCAGGAATAACTGGTACAGTAGGTGGAACCGTTGTCACACCTGGAGGTGGAACAGCTCTGCAGCCAGGTCAAGGTACAACCACGGGTGGAGTTGTTCCTGGCACCGCAGGTACAGTCGCAGGAACCACAGGTCAAGGAACTGTACAACAAGGATCTGGCGCAGGGGTCGACGACGATGGAGATTCGCAAGCCATCAGCTCGGTCAAGCAAGGCCCTGGAGGAACCACGGCAAGTGCATCGGCCGAAGGAAGACACGGCAGCGGCAGTGCAAAGTCACAAGTCAGTGGAACCTATAACGGTGGTGGTTCGTTTTCTGCGCAAGCGGGTACAAGCGACGATCACAAAAGTGCTCAAACGCAGGTAAATATTATTATTATATTCACTTTACATTATTTTTTACTTATAATTGTCCTTGACTCTTTATTTTTCAATCAGATAAGCGGCGGCAAAGAGGGAGCCAAGAGCAGCGCTCAAGGCAGCGGAGGTCTCGGTAAAAGCCAAGTACAAGTCGAGCTCGATTCCGAATCCGGATCAACGTCGACCAACGCCCAGAGCAGCGGTCTGAATCACGGCACCAATTCTCAGGTCCAAGCTTCCTCCAAGGGCGGAATGGCCGACGCTCAGGCCAACGGTGAGGGACAAACCTCGAGTCAAGCTCAGATAGGTTTTCAACCCTACAACAGCAACAAAAATGAGAAACCCGAGCGTCGGGACAAACCCTTCAAAGGAGGCGGTACTGCGTCGGCTCAAAGCGGCGCCTTCAGGGGACAGTCTCAATCGCAGCTTCAGGGCTCCTTCCAGTACGGAATAACGTACACCGGCGCGGCTCAAGCCAACTCCGGTTCGGGTTCTGCTTCCCTGAGAAAACCCTTCAATTTCAGCACACCTGATCCCGATCTCTTCAAACCTTACAAGCTGGAGGACAATCAGGACGGCAAAAAATCGGCGGAAGCTCCGAAAGAGAAGATGCGAGCCTCCGGCACGAAGCAGACGGTGATATCGATCAAGAAGAATAATAAAAACGCGCCGAATTACGAGACGACCAACGAGGACGATTTCGAGGAGGAGTACGAGGACGAGGGGTCGTACAGCGACTTCGTGTCGATAACACCTAAACCCCGTGTGTCATCGACATCGGCTCGGCCTACCTCGGAGCCGAAACACACGATGCACGTGATAACCGACGGAGAGTACGACGTTAAGATCAGAAGAACTAGCGGCAAAGAATCGAATAAAACTGCTACAACTGCTCGTGGTGCCGCGCCGACTGGAAGAATCAAATCATCGGAAGCCACGAAAAATATCACGGAAAAACTGAAGCCGACGAACAATCGCACCCAGGAAAGCAGCAGAGCTTCGTCCGACACGAAATCACTGCGTACCGAGCGCATAGGTGGCATTTACAAGATGAAAGCGGCTCCCGCCTCCGTGGCAGACAACCTCAGCAAAGAGGAAACAGGCCCGAAAGCCAGCTACGTATCGGTCACCAACAGTGTGGCCGGTAAAATCGACGACAGGGACACGGACAAAAAGTACGAGCATCGATACTACACCAAGAGCTCGACCTGCGGATACTTCAGCTTCTCTTGCAACGTCGTCTACGGCAATCACGGGGCGCGAAAGATCTGCAAGCCCAAGCTGCCGACTTACGAGGACGGCACACCGAAGTGCACTTAGACGCAGCTCTAGTTTAAAATTTTTTATAAGATTTACGATATATGCCTTTCGCACGATACTTAAAATAACGCGTAAAGCAAGAGTAGTAACTAATTGATACCTCGAATCATTAAATCGAGACATATTAGACTGAAAATTCTTAGATACTTAAACTTTTATTTATTTCAATGTTGAACGATGCATTATTAATATATATACGTACACTGCCATATTTTCAGAGACTGCAAAATAACGAAGGTAAATTACAGACTGTTATTATGACTAGTGGCAATTACTGTTTTGCCAGGGTCTGCTTTTACGATTATATCACCGAAATTATGTTTAGCATTCCAATGTGTAGCATTATTTTTAATGAACCAAAACCTTTTGTATGGTAATTTTTTCAATAAATCATCAATAATAATCAATGTCGTATGAGGTCCTTTTTATTTATATATTTCAACAACATCACTTAGAATGTACTAGTTATTATCAAATTTTCATCATACAATATACAATACTGATAACATTAACAGCTTAACTAGAAATATTGACAGATAAAGTTCAAATCACATGAATATTTTAGTTAGCCATTTAAATGCATCTCTCAGGACTTGACTTCTCGTATATGCAAGACTATATTTTCTGTAACGGTAGTCTGTCTATATTTATACTGTTACATCATCTTAAAATTATACTTTTTCAAAAACAACAACTTTTGAGGAATAAATATTATTATAAAATGATATAAAAGTTTTGAAATTATTGCCACAAATAGATTAGAATATAGTATATAAATTATGACTGATGATCGGGTTAAACTTATTATAATAATTAAAATATTGCATGAGACGCCGCTTCGTAATTTTTATACACATTAATCGAATATATTTACACGCATGTAAAAATTATTCAGCAGCAGTTAAAAATAAATGAGGCTTTAGTTACATCATTTCTTTTCTCATTTTCCTAATGAGAGGCTTAGGTTCATTGAGGTAATGTATGTAAAGCACCTATTTAATTATCTAACTTACAGCTTTTAAACGTTATTACTTTAATATAATACATTGAAGTCTCTTTTTCAAATTAAATGGGTAATGTAAAAAAATAAATATGAACATTCATGTTACCGTGGAAAAATATGATAAATAACTTCATGTTCAGTACAAGATTCGGCAAGAAATTAAAGTTACAAAAAAAAATACCACAATATCCTTATAGGTTTATCTGTAAGTAAATGCAATAAAATAAACTAAAAATCACATGATAATGCTGCTAGTGTCATAAACAGCACGATATCGTTAATTAAATTAAAATATGAACTATTTTCGTAACTTTTACCCGAGCATTGGTATCAAACATTAATGTATATTTACAGGAACGTGATTCATAAATTCAGTCATTAGTCATCCTCGCCGCTACCTACATCAACTTTTTCTAAATCTTTCCTTTCGTCGTCGGTGCATTCCCGGCACTTTTCTTCATCGATTATTTCTGCAACGACATCGGGTGCACGGTTCTCGTTATGACTGTAAGCAAATTAAATGAATTAAGTTCATAATTAAGTTAACTATTCCGTCTCATTGAAATCTTGCAAGCATTATACGCACATTCTTCTAACTTCGTCTAATTTCTCGCGGGTGTCGTCGAGTTCGTCCTGGAGATTCTCGTTCGTCCTCTTCAATCTGCGAATAGTCAGGTTGGCCGCGTCGACCTCTTCCAGAGCAGTTGTCAGTTCTTTTTTCAGCTCGTCGACTCTTTTTCTTATTCTCTTGACTTCGACCTCGTACTGTTCGGACCGACGAGTCGAGTGAGACAATTCCGTCGTCTTTTCAGCGAGCAGTTTTTTCAGCTTGGCAACCGACTGCTTCAAATCCGACAGCTCGCGATTCGTTTCGAGTAACTCGACCTGCAATTGCTTGGTTGATTCGGGAGAATCGAGGCAGCCCGACTTGGGTCTGGTTGACTTTCTTGACGACGAAAGAGGCGAATCCAGGGGACGTTCCTTGATTTCTCGCAGTTCGTTGCGCAGTTGTTTGTTTTCTCGTTCGAGTAAGATTTTTTCTGTCTCCAAACGTTCGCGCTCACCCCATTCGGCGGCATTTTCGGCTTGTAATCGTTCAAGCTGGAATTACAAAAATGCGATAAGTAAAAATTGTTTTAATTTGAATAAAAAAACTGGAAATTACTTACTTCTAATCGAAGCTCTGCCAATCTGGAATTTTGACCTTCCTTGTTAATAGTTTCGTCAGCCAAATCAGATTGCAATTCACCTCGGAAATTTTCGCTTTTAATTTCTAATAATTCTCTCATGACGTCCGTTCGACTTTCTTTTAATTCTTCACAAGCCTTTTTCAATTTCTTGATTTCGCTGTTTAATTTTTCAACTTTTCTAAGTAGGATTTCTTTCTCTCTAAAAATTAAAACATAATAACATTATAATTTTTGTTACAAGATAAATTACACTTATTGAAAATAATTACTCTTTTTCCTCAGTTATTGTTAGGCCAGCTTCATCTAATTTTGTAGTAAGTACACTAATTTTTTGCAGCAGAGACTCATCGTTTGGACCTAATCTTAACATTCGTTTTTCTGAATCAGTTAATGAATTTTCCTTGCTACTAGTATCTATTACTCGCTTGGGTACAGCTCCTTGAGAAATATAATCTTCTATATCTTTATCAATGAAATCTCTACCATCTGTGCTACTTTTTGGACTTTTGCAGTTATCACCTTCTTTTTTCAGTGATGTTGGTGTTATCTTTCCTGACCCATCACCATTACTATAAGTTGGCATCAATTCACTGTGTAAAACTATGTTCTTTATTTGAGAATTTGTTTCGATAACAGAATTTTCAAAGTGACCAGAATCATTCATTAAACGTTGTAGCCTAGCTACTTCTTTTTTGAGAATACTGTTCTGAGCTAATAACTCCTGACATTCTTCTTTGTATAATTTAGAATCCTTAGTAGCATATTCTAGATTTATTCTTACTGCTTTTAATTCTCTTTTAAATTGATTTCTTTCATCTCTCACGTCTTCCCATTTCTTCTTCCAGTTAGAAGTACATTCAGACCACCATCGCATAGTTTTTTCCATCTGAACACATCTTGCTTTAGTCTCTTCCAGTTCTTTCATGATTAGAGCCTAAAGCATTTTACGTTCATAACATTGATATAAAGTAATTAACGTACTTTAAAAGCTACAAACCTGTTTTTTATCCCAATCACTTTCATTTTTCTGTGAATTACTACTGTGTTCAGTAGAAGAGTGCTTATGCTCTCTGGTGTGTTTTCTACTGGATGTGCTACTGACTGATGATGATTGAGCCATGGTGCATTAAGATTGATCTGTGTTTTGTTCGAGAATGACAAAAATGAAATTAAAAGTTTAGTTTTGGGCAAATAATACGTCTTAAACTTACTAGTCAATTCGACTCAATGAATGGCAACTGCCTGTGAAATTTACGTCGACTACATGGACTAGTTATTTGTTATGATGATTTTGTACCATGTGTCAAACGAGGAGACCAAAATAAACTTTACCGTACGAAATACGAGTACATTGTGTGAGATCGATCATATCTGATAATCATAAGCATTAGCATCAGCGAAGTCATTGACCGACATCGTATGCGAATTTCGTCACATTCGAAAACATTGATGTCAAGTGAAAAGCCGGTGAATTCTTCGTCCAAACAGCATTTATCGCACGCATAATTGATAACAATCAACGACACTACATTGTTTTCACGATTTTATCACAAAAATTGACGTGAACTATTTGCTTCGACATGTTAATGCACAGCGTACTTGACTTCAATGCTCTTTGGTTATAACAGAGGGATGTACATGTAACCTTTTACCCTTTTTATCATACTGCGATGCGATTCCGCGAAACGAATTATGAATGAAATATGGCGACAGTTTGGCGGCAAATTTGACAGCCATTTAAATGGCGTCGTTAGAGGGGTCGAGCGAATGAAAAACCAGCGATTCATCGTTTCAACATAATACATCTTTATTGTTTTCTTTTTCGATACTTGTTATTTGACAAATAGGCTTTATTACATGATTTACAAAAGAAAATATTGCTATTATTATTCCACTTTGTCGTTAGCTACGAAATATTTTGCTACGTAAGTACAAATATATCTCTTGGTTTTACAACTTTTTCAATAATCTCGTCTTTGATTTTGAATCAAATTGGCGCATCGATTTCTACCTTGATATGGCTAAAACTAAACTAAAAAAGATAAGATGCTATAAAATCAATTCAACCAGTAATATTGTCAAATACAAATGCAGTGTATGATATGCTTTACATTATATTGTATTTTTGCATACAAGCACATGTACAGTTTGAAAAACAATAATTTCATGTAAATTGTTCAATCGGTTCGGTAAGCAAACAACTATGCACTATGTTGAAAGTATCATGTCTTATTTGTATCACAGCTGCAAACTGTTAAAAAATATGCTTGCACTGTTGCTATACAAAACACTTTGGAAATAATATAGGTAACTCTCCAAGATTATTGTACCAAATAAAAATCTGGGTTTTTCTCATCAGAAAACAAATTATAAAAAAATTGTGTTTACAATATTACTTCGAGAAAGAAAATTCAAACTCTTGTTTGAAAACATAAGAAAATCAAATAAAAATTGTGAGAGATACCCACATTTGTTCTTAACATCTTGGTATAGTCATTTACTTTCTTGGTAAATTTTATTTGCATAACGCCCATTCTGGGCTTCAAGAAGTACAATTGCTTCATTCTTTTTATACAGAATATATATGACTTAAAAAATAATATGTATCAAAATATTATTAGATTATGATGGAATTATACTTCATGTATAGTTAGTGACTTTTTAACAATTTCATTTTTACGCTGTGTAAAAATTATTGATACTTAATATAATTAATAAGGCAATCAACATTCAATTCTTATTTTGAATATAGTAGTATTAAAGCTTCTCGTCACTCGGTCACCATCGCGACCTTCGCTGATAGCAATTTCATTGCACAGCACGTATTCATCATTTATTCCTCTTGCGTTACCAATTATTTTAACAAACTAATAAGGCAAATATTGTGTTTTTGTTCTTCAACGAACAGTACGAGTCGTTTGTGTAATACAAACAAATACATTCATACAATCATACAAATATAAATATAATATGTATAATGACAGTGCTGAAAAACAATTTGATATACGAAAACCTCTTACAAGATAATCCAATCATTTTTAGATTTTTTTCTCAATATTTTTTAGTAACAAATCAGCTCTTATATTAAAAATATATACATGTACAATATATATCTATTTTTGGAAGTTTAGACTTTCTCAAATTCGGTAACAATAGACTGACCAACATAAATGAAATGACCAGAAAAAATATTGCTTTCCCATCATCCGATAATTAATTTGTTTAATCTTTTGAAATAATAAAATACCTCTGAACTAACCCCTACTCTAGGTATTATAATATCGTTAATTGATAATTTGTACCATAATAATGATGATGTAGATGGTTCGTACTATCTCGGCTATTTATAATCACGCCGGTGTCTTGGTATCAATTTTATCTTGCGTGAGTATCTGGCAGTGTTGTTCCAGACGCTTAATTGTTTCTGTAAGTTGGGCATTCTCAACGTACAATTCTTTTGCCAGAAAATCTGCTTTGGTCAGCTTTTCCGTCTGAAATTATTTTATCATGTATCGTTTAATTTTTATTCATTAATTCCAAAAAGTTTACTTTGAAAAATCTTACTTGTTCTTTGTACAGCTTGATCTGTTGATTAAGCTTATTTTCTGTATTCTTAATGATACATCGCAAATCTGCAGTTTCTAGCATGTGTTGCTTCCACATTACTATGAAAATAAATAAATTTTATGAAACTTTTTTTTCAAAAAAAAATGAATGATGAGATCGGCTTACCTTGGCGTATTCTTTCTTGTTCAGTTTGTTGAACCTGATAGAACATCTGCAAGTACTTGTATCTTTGTTCGGCAGCGTAAAGCTTGGCGCATAAATTTGAGAAAATTCCATGTTCGTCCATAGTCACGGGATAACCGGCACGAAGAGTTTGGAGCTTGACGATCTCTTGACGCAATCGATCTTTTTGGCGCTGTAGATTTCTCAACTCACGATCGTTCCAGTATTGCTGCGCGGCTTGATGTTGTTGCTGATACTGTGTCTGCTGGTGCGGCTGCTGTTGACTGAAGTAACGATGATGATTATGCAAATATTTACTAGATCTTCCGTCGTCGCGACGATGTGATTTCGACTGATGATAATAATAAGACGATGGTTTTCGAGGCGATTGTACCGATGGATTTTGAGGTTTCGTAGTCGGCTGCTGCTGAGGTGGGGTTTTACAGCTACACTCGCTGTTTACACTTATCGACTTGTGACACTGTAAAAGCAGAAGAAATTGAATCGTTAATTAAATTAGCACTGGGTAAATTATAAATACAGATTTCTGTAGCTAAAAATACTTGCCTGTGTACATTCTTTTTTCTCTTCTTTTTCCACTTCGAGTGGAATCGGAGTAGAAGAACTATCTGGCTCATCAGTGTTCTTAATTAACATGCTATACAAAGCAGGATAATCCTTTTTCATCTGCTCATCGGGACACTGGACCTCTTCATCTACTGACGATTTTCCTTTCAACTTCGACTTCAGATCTTGAATTTCCATTTCTCGGCTATCCAATTGTATTTGAGCATGTCTCCGCCAGCGTTCGAATTCTTCTTCGAGATCGGAGTATTGTTGCTCCAAAATCGATCGTTCTTCGATCGGCGATAAACGACCGGGAGTGGATTGCTTCACACTGTCATCAGCATATTGCTCTTCGTATTCCGTTATTTTATCGAGAAGTTCGTTGAATTTTTCGCTGTTTTCTTTTTGTTCCTGTTCGAAAATTTGACGTTCTTCGTCGAGTTTCAGAACCCAATATTCTTCGCATTGGTCGTATTCAGTTCGTAATTTTTCTAAACTACGTTCGAGTTCGCTTATCCTAAAAACAAATTATTATTAATTTATGAAAGAATTTGTAGAAAATGAACGGTATGAAATTCAATCTGTTTCTGACATTCAATTCTACGAAAGATTCGTTACAGCACACCTTGACTTATGTTATATCTAAATATCAAGTAACAGATTGAGAGTAATATTTCATGTACACACTTGTCAGTCAATTTCCTTCTCTCCATATTATGCTTAGCCTCGACCTCCCTCAACAACTCCTCAGTCGATGGTTTCCATTCCTGACTACTTTTATAAGGTAAAGTTGCCAATTTAGTTTTAAAATAGGCCCTCAAATCGGAACTATCCATATTGTCATGTAATTTTAATTCATTAATCGTATCGTTGCTAGATGATATGCGTTTATTTGTACTACTAAGTTGCTGCGGGACTGACAATTCTAAACACGATGTTGTACGGTTGTTTGTCGTATTAGCTTTTATTTACATAAAGAAAATATAAAACTCATTACACTCAGACACATAAAAATATAAAATTCCAGAAATAAGACTTGATGTTTACCGAGTTCGTTGGCCAAGTCTCGAACCTGCTTTCTTCTTCTGCCTGGTGATAATTGACTAGATCTGTATTGTTCGAGCTGCTCGACGAGCGATATTATGTTACTTCTGACTTGATCGCATTCGTTGCAGAAATTCGTGCGAATCAGCAAACCATTTAAATCTTTAATGATATCGCCCAATTTTTCGTTGGTATTCGTTGTCTGAGATTCTTTCGTCGATTTGGCCTTCGTTCTAGTTTCACGCTTCAATGGCTTACCCTCTTCGTCTTCGGTATCGACTTCGGTAGGCACTGCAAAAAAAAAACAACAATAAATAAAACAATTGAATATATTTTCACTTGATAAATAATGAACAAAACAATGCAACTAACCATCGTTTTCGTCAGACGTAGACCGACCCCCAGCGACGCTATTAGCGTCGTGTTCGCGATTTCTCAGACTTTCTAGTTCACTGTGGAGCTCGTCGTTTCGATCACGCAACTCCTTCATCTCGGTCTGCAGTTGTCGCATGCGTTCCGTTAATTCGACGATCTGCTTGCTCTCTGGGTTCTCCAAGTTAGCGACCTGCAAAACAAAAGAGGATGAATACAACACCGTTTAATTTTAGCGCGGCGCGGTCGTGTAGCGAGCTTTTTGTATTATGGGAGTTTGTGTGGGAAAAACATGCAACGCGATGATGCTCCATTTGCGCACTCGATCTTCGTGAGTATTTTTTTACAGTTTTTTTCCCCTCTAATGATAATTACTGTTAAAAATGCTAATAATAAAATTGTACTTTAACGCACCTTCAGTTCAGAAGCTAACGTGAGTATTTGTCGTTCAAGCTCGTTTTTTTCTCCTTCGAGTCTCCGGATCTTCTCAGCTTGATTTTGATTCTCTTGCTCCAAGGCTTTCACGTCTTCCAAGGCAGTGACGAGGTCGGCCTTGATTTTTGATTCTTCTAATTGTGCCGCGAACAACTTCAACTCTATCGCATGAACATTTTCTTTGCCCTTGTCTAGCTCGGCCTGCAACTTATCGGTCAGATCCTTAATGTTATCACTATGTCGCTGCTCAAGCTGGCGCAGCTGATGCATATGTTGTTGACGGGCTCGATCTGCTTCATTTTGATGATCGTCGATTTCCTTAAGCAAATCGTTAGCTCGGTCATTTGCTGCCGTAATATCCAGTCGTAATTTATCACGTTCGCACATAAGATGTTCCATTGTTGTACTACAATAACAGGCTCGTGTTGTTAATACTTTTCTAAATGTTTATCAATAAAAACTTACTTGATATTCCTAACTTCCTCTTGATAGAGAATAAGTGCTCCTTTGAGTAAGCGTATGTACTCCTGTTTGTCACCATCATGAGACACATCATTAAGCTTAAGCTCGGATGATAAGGCATTTAATAGTTCAATAAGATTAACTGTAGGTCCTTCACATCCTAAATCTAATAGTAAGGAATTTGCTTCGGTAACACCTCCCAGTTTCCAAAGTTCAGTAATGTGACTTCGAGAGACAACTCTAAAATATAAGCAATTATATGTTTTAAACTTGTTTTTTTTTTTCATAAAAATTCTTCTCGGTTAGCTATAACGCTTACCCTGTTTCATGATTATCAATATCTTTAAACACTTCCGTTTTTATTTCATGAGTTTTCTGTATTTGAGAAAACCAATTAGATACTGAATATTCCTGCAGTTTACTGTTAGCATTTTGAAAAAATAACAGAAACTCAGGAAGATTGATAAGACCATCACAGTCTAAGTCAAGTTTTTCAAAAATTTGTTCAACTGTCTGCAATAGAAAATAAAAAAGGTAATAATTTCAAAACTTTGTTGCCACTAAAATTTTTCGAATTAATTATTTAAACTTACTTGTTTAGGAAGAATAGAGTCTTTACAAAAACTATTTGTACCTTCCGTGACTATTGAGCCATGGTTATTAAGTATTTCTTGTAATTTTTTATCATTATTTTGAGCTGCAGAAGCATAAATTATCATTAAATTACACTTTAATTTTTTTTACTTTAAGTAAGTTGGTTTAAAACATACCTATTTCTACGTGATTATCATTATCCACTACTTTCATCTCATTACTTAGTCTATTATCTACACACGTATATCCATTTTCCAATTCTTCCACGACTCCATTTTTCTTAGCCTCTGGCCTTTTCTTATTGAGATAAGCCAGAAAACCATCTCTGAATGTTGGAAACGACACTGTCGTTTCCACCTTGACTAATTCCATGAGAGCATTTTGCTGACTCTCTTCCAGTCCGAGTTCCGAGCAGAGCAGCGACAAGCCTGCTCTGTCCAACTCCTTCTGATCTTTCGTCAAGCAGCTTTTGAACGCTGCCAAGAGCCTCTGCTCGTAGGGATCACTCAGCTCCTCTTCCATCTCATGCCGTTCTGCCCCAGCAGCCCCTGCCAACTGTCAAAATTCCAGCTTCTCGAATATCTGCAAAATATTTTGGAAGTTTGTTGTGAGATACACAGCAGCGGAGTACAGGCAAATAAATAATATTTTTAAATAACACACACACGCGCTTATTGTCAAGGTCTAGGTCTGGCTCGGAAATAACGTTTCAGCATACTGAGTGAACTCGGTTGACTTTAGAACACGATCTGGCCAATGAAAATGGTAGTGAAAGACAAAAGTCAAGTAGAAGCAGAGGAGAATGAAAGAAAGAGAGGCGACGCTCAAGGAAGTGGCGTTGTATTTATAGAAGCCCGCGTGAGATACTGCCAAAAATGAATGAAACCCTAATGAATATTTAGAGATACACACAGCACTGGCAAAATAAATTAAAATAAATAACGTAATCGAGAAAAGGCGTAGGTAGGTAGGCGCGAGAAGAAGAATGACAAAACTCTCGCGTGCGTGTACGATGCGATAAGCAACGAGCCGAGAGAGACGTCAACGTCTCTCGATGATATTTGCATACACGAGAGAATCACAAATGGAATCCGAGACTCGTCGTCGTATTTGAAAATATGAGACATTTACCTTAGCATTCGGCGCGCGGTTACAAGCAACCTAGCAGTACAGCAGCGTGCAAATCACTGGTCGACTCGTGTCTGTATCGAATATTAACTAATAAAAACACTGTGACGCGCCAACGGCCAAAACGATCGTGTGTGCTTTAATTCTCGGAAACAAATTCGATTATTATATTTATTATATATACACAAGCAGACGTACACAGACAGACGGACACTCGAGTCCCTCAACTTTGCGCGCGGTTGTTGTTACTATACATTATACACACGCGCGATTCACTGATAACAACACACTTGCTCATAACAGCCGACGACGACGCGAGGCGCGATAAACTTTCTCCCTTTTCTCGGCATGGCAGCTTATATTATTGCTACTACATTGCTTATACCTATACACACTACAAAAACGCATAACAATACGCGAGTTGCTGCTGCCCACTGTTATTGCTGCTGCTGCTTATAAACTATAACTAATGTTTAGCGTGCTCTTGACGCGAGAGTCGAGAATTTTTCTTTCAAAACGCATTACTTAGCGGCGGCCAGCTGCTCGCTGCTCCGCTGCTGCACGCGCAGACTAGCTATACAAGTGATGTTAGCAGCAGCAGTAAGGCAGCATGTGACATGTTTTTTTGCTTATACATTATATGTATATAATGTGCGGACTCGGTGGCGAGTCTCCGAGGCGCAGCAGCAGCAGCAACAGCGATATATACACTTTTGCGTGCGCGAAGCCCACACACATCTACAGCCTACTACTCTATACACACAGACACACGCACACATGTGAATGCGAGGCTGCTACATATATATATATACAGCAGCAGCGTCGGAAAGTTAATTGAAGGACGACCAGTTATATACACTTACGAGACCGGAGCACGAGGCATGAATTGTGTAGTAGTATACGCATTACGCTATACAAACTAATATTATGCGGCTGCTGCTGCTCGTGTGTCGCAGCAGCAGCAAATGTAATAGCGGAATAGCCTCTAGTCAAAACACGACACGATCTCCCCCCGCGAGTATTATACCTATATACTCGACTCGTTTACACGTTATTGTATATTTTCGCTAGAGTGTCGAGTGTACAGCACGAGACAATAATAATCATGATAATGACCACATCGGTTTCAGCACGCGAGTTATAAGTATGTGTATATATAAAGAAGCGATAGACGTTGCAGTTGTAAGTATATATAGAGGTAGGTAGCGCCGACGTTTTGAATGAGGCCAAAAAATGCACGGGTAGGCATGTGTGTGCGAAAGCGCACTATATGGGCGCGCATACATGTGCTGCAGCTCACTACTATACATTGCATTTTGGTCCTTGCCCCGCACAGGTGTATCGAATTCTTTCGAAGGGATTAACATAGCAGAGGTGTGTAATACAGGCTTACCCTTGACAAAGGATGTATCATGCGATCGGTCGTCGTCGTCGTCGTCTCTTGGGCCGTCGTCGACTCCGATTCTTCGCTGCTGCAACAACGACGATGATGGCGATGATGTGGATGAGATCGCGCGGCGCTTTGTTGTTGCATCCGCGTTGCCGTGCAGCTGCTGCAGTGCGAAGCGCGCCAATCAGCTGATTCGTGCGTGCAGTATAGTAGTAGGCCGCCGATTCCCTCGCAGCAGCTCTCTCACTTCCTATGTATGTTATATATCTATATATAGATATGTCTATCGATCGAAAGAGTTAATTATCTATCCCGCGAGTAGTAGATACAAAATGTATAAAAACGATCGGATCGATCGATCGACTCCTTGGGGACGAAGAGATCGCGCGGATTAAAAATGTCGTTGGCACCACTCGTTGCGGGCTCGAGCGAGATCTACCTGAGCGCGCGAGCGATAGTTGCCGAGAGAGCCGAGTTACTGCGAGTGATAGAGGCACGCACACACGCGAGCGAGCTGAATTGGCGGATGATCCGAAGGGGCCACTACTGTTACTATAATATTCGCAGAGAGAAACAGATTGTGTGTGTGTGTGTGTGTGTGTGTGTGTGTGTGTGTGTGTGTGTGTGTGTGAGTGAGCTAGAGTAGTAGCGTATCGCGAGAGGGGCACATGTAGAACGCGACTCGAGTGTGTGATTGTCTGTCTGTCTTATAGGTATATGTACGTGCGAACGATGCGCGGATCGAGCACCTTCTTTTCCCGCCGCGGCTTAGAGAGAGAGAGAGAGAGAACCGATTCTTCGAGCTGAGGCTTAGACTCGCTATGTGTGTCGTGGTACTACCTATATAGATATAGTTATAATAATGTACCTTTGGCTCTGCACTATCGAGTCCTATACACACACACTCACGTGCGCCGCGTCTCCGATATACGTGTGTACTATCGTAGATAACGCGTAGTACTGGTAGCGCATACCTGAGTCACGCGCGCCAACAGAGCCGAAGGTACTTATACACGCGGTAGCTCACTAATACTCGCCAACGTGTATTATACTCACAAATACGACGATTGCTATATACGTGTATATCGCTCGCTCGTTCGCGTGTATTATACCTGTATAATATCGTCTGGAAAAAAAGCGTGCACTACGTGTGTGCGAGCATTATCGTATAGCTGAGTCACGTTGCACGGTTCGCAACGAGTCGACGACGCGAAAACGTAAAAAAAAGCTGCATAACGATTATACCTATATAGTTTTCTCCAGCCGCTGTATGCCGCTTCGGAAGCTCGCGGCTATATATCCCTTTCGGCGACGCGGGCGGGGGAGAATGACGGTCTATTTTGCCACTCGTTGGTATAGCGCAACTGGCATGATTACGTAAGGGTTGAGTATTATAGCCATCCTCCTAAATAGACATTGTAATATCTTCGCTTCGCTTCGGGCGCAATTTTATGTATACACAAATATAGGGATGACGACTATTGTACGCACTGACAACTGTTACAAAAAAGCTCCGTATCGCGTAGTCGCTTTTTGTTGCGCGCGACTCTTTATCCGTTGTAATAAGGCAAAAACTACGCGATCTGCGTATAGTGAAGAAGCTGCACCGACGCGATATCTAATCTGCAACTCGAGTACTTTACCACTGCATGGACTAAAAATAGCAATGACTTAATGTTAATTTATATGTAAATAAGAGAGATGGCAGCAGAGAGAATTATTGCGATTGGAGAGCTTTCTATAGATATGTATCTAGGCCAGAATTGTTGTAACGCATGTACACTTGACTCGAGGAATCCCCGAGCGATCGATCGATTTCAAATATACGACGACGATCGCGTGTCTAGCCCGTAGCGTTACAATAATAATGTGTGTGTATTATTAAAACCAAACCAAAATAGTCTCTCTCACGGCTAGCCCACGATATTATACATCAAAAGCGTACAGGACACGTGACCCTCTGCCTCGACTCTCTTTGCACGATCCACAACGACGACGATGACCATAAAGTCAAATTTCCGTCGATAAAGTCGATGAATAAGCTTTACGTTACAGTATAATACATCCTGTATAATGTAATTTTATCTCCCCCTTTTTTCAAGCTCTTTCTCTCATTCGGTGAGCGTCGCGCGAGTATATAAAATAAATGCGATTCGAATTTCTGCGCGCGCTAAAGCCCCGAAGCGCTATTGCCACCCGCGCGCCTCCATTTATCTTATCGGCCGCAGCTCGAACGCGTCGCGTCGCGTTCGAGGCTATAAAAATTAAACAAGGATCGCGTTTACAGCGATGAGATTTTACGATTGACTTTAAATTCGTAGAGAGAAAAATTGTCCTCGAGCTATCTTTCCTATTTCTTATCGTTAGAATCAGCGTATTGCATTTGCATCCTGTGCTTTGAAACGATGAGACTCTACGAGACAAATTTTTGTCCAATGAGATGTATCTTATCTGTGCAAGCTCAAAAAGTGATACTCAAAATTCGGTACTGCTCTTCATAAAAGCTCTCGTGTTCTCGTCGAGGCTAGGTGTGATTTTTAAAGCCAAATCGAGGCACAGTTCGTGACTTTTTTCGAACGCACAATTGTTTACAAACATCTTTTTTACTTTCGGACTATCAATCAGTTCGGAGAAGCTTCTTCGAAGGAGGCGATTCCCAGCCCCTACATTATGCCCCTTCCATTCGCGCTCGTTATTAACGTTAGTCATGAGTTCGCGCTCGCATAAAAAGGCCATCGGATGCCTTCGGCTCTTTCAGTTGTCGAGTGTCGGGCAATTGTATTCGAATAGTGATTTCTTTGATTAATTCGAAACATCAAAAAGATGAATCTATTGATGTTTATGACGATTTATACCGCGCAATCGCTAACGACCGGCGTACCTTCTATTTCCCTACTCGACGAGTGGGAAGTGTTTAAAGTATATCATTTGTCTCGATCATTAACTTTTGTCCTACTACATCGAAGTTTTTATTTACTTTAATTGTATTCTTTTATCCAGACTTCGTATAACAAAAAGTACGCGAGCTTGCGAGAGGAGGCAGCGAGATTGAGCACGTTTCTAGCTAATAAAGAAAAAATTGAACAGCACAATGCCAAGTTCGATCGGGGCGAGGTCGAATTTACCATGGCCATGAATCAGTTTGGCGATCTGGTGAGTGATTAATTTCTATTTTTCAATCGATCGTAGTTGTCTTTTTCTCTCCCAATCATTGTCTATTTACGATCTTTAAGACGAGGGAAGAATTCGCCAAGAGAATGAACGGTTACAATCGCGGCGGCCGCACGAAAATAAAACCATCGTTCTTTGGTAACAAACTGCCGTTTTGGGCCTATCCACCCGGTACATACATCGGTGACAAACTTTCGTATGGAGCCATTCCATCCGTAAAACGCGATACAGAGGATTACTTGAACGAGGCGGCGATTTACGTAGCGCCACCGGAGAACGTCCAACTTCCGGCGGAGATCGACTGGAGAACGTTGGGCGCGGTGACTCCGGTCAAGGACCAAGGCGATTGCGGCTCCTGCTGGGCATTCTCCGCCGTGAGTATCTTTCTTTTCGTTAACTCTCTTCCGGCCGATCGAAATTGTGCATGAAAAAAATGCATTCGATCACGTGCACGCAGACCGGCTCGCTGGAGGGCCAGCACTTCCGTCGCAACGGCAGCCTCGTCTCGCTGAGCGAGCAGAACCTCGTCGACTGCTCGACCAACTTCGGCAACAACGGCTGCGACGGCGGCCTCATGGATCACGCCTTCCTCTACGTCAAGGTGAATCGGGGCATCGACAAGGAGGACGCCTACCCGTACGAGGCCGACGACTCGAGGTGCCGCTATCAGCGCGACGAGGTCGGCGCGACGGACGTCGGCTACACGGACATACCGGAGGGCAACGAGAAGGCCCTGCAGGCAGCGGTGGCTACGGTGGGGCCCATCTCGGTGGCTATCGACGCGAGCTCGGATCACTTTCAGTTCTATCACAAAGGTTCGTTCGTGCGCAATATTTTGCTTTTGCTTTTGTACAAGCGATATCTTAATCGTGTAATTTGAAATTACTAAAGTTGATAGCTGCAAAAAAACTCCATTGTTGTTCCTTCTTTCAATTTTGAAAATGTTATTGAAAAGCCCCGACTGGACGTCAATTTTTAAGTTTTTTATTAAAAAAAAACTTGAAAATAAAAACAATCCTATCATACTAATGTTTCATTCTCTCGTGTTACAGGCGTCTATTATGATCCCACCTGCTCATCCGAAGAGCTGGATCATGGGGTTCTCGTCGTAGGTTATGGTACCGATAAACTCACGAAACGCGACTATTGGCTGGTGAAAAACAGCTGGGCCGAGAGCTGGGGCGACATGGGCTACATCAAGATGTCCAGAAATCGACACAACAATTGCGGAATCGCCACGGCGGCCAGCTACCCTCTGGTCAAGTGAACAAGTTCATTTAGTTTGACGAAAAAAACCAAAAATGATTACGTTTTAATAATTATTTCAAAACTTTTTGATATCTTTTTTATACTTTTTCGTAAATAAAAACCAAAAGTACATGCAACGCCATTGTAATAAAGACTCGTCATTTTTAAATTCTTAAGCTCTATCCCGACACTGTTAAGCTAACTCAATTGCAGTGCAGTAGTAATTTTTGCCTTTGTTCTGGCGCTTCGTAATGCTTTCCAAATCTGAAAAAGGTATACTGTGACAACATGCTCGAATGAATGAAACGCAATTATCCAGGATTAATTTTTTTCCACGAATTATTTTTATTTGTTTTCTTTGATACGCACTTGCCATAATTATAACAGGATCAGTCGAAGGTAAAGTGGCTGAGGTAAAAGATACACTGGATTTTTGTCGTTTTATGAAGTAACATGTGTGCTCGCGACAACTTACATGTTTTTCTTCGTCGCCATCGCCACAGACAGAGTCCATCGAGGAGGTGCGACTTATTATATGCCCTGCGACGTGAGGTTTCATCAATGGACTCTATCCGTTTTCAACCGATTCATATATACGTAATGAACGTGACGCCATGTACTGCGCGTCGACTATTTCAACGAAAAAAGAAAATATTCGATTAATGAAAAATACGAGATAATAAGTCGTTTCATAAAAAGGAAAAAATTATTTTCATAATGTACGTTTTTTCGTTTTATTTGTTTACTTTATTGTATATGGGTCAAAATAATACTTTTTTACAAAACCGTGCGCACGTATGTCACCGATCTTGACGCGCTTTTGGTATGTTATAGTACATGGTAAAAAGGTCCCAAAAAAAAATTTTTAGACCCCCTCCCCCCTCCTACCCCCCACTTCCGGTATAAACGTCCATTTTCGATCTATATTTTTTCTGAGGACATGAAGCAAGTAAAAAATCTGAAAAAATTCATAAAAATACTTTTCCACAATCCAAACAACCTTGAATTTTTTCAGATTTTTTGAGTGCTTCAGGCCTTCAGATAAAATCATTGAAAATTTCAAAAATCGAGATACGGCGGTATGAGCCGATGTAGTACTCGGAAATTTTTTCAGTTATTTTTCGCATTAAAAAACATAACCTCAATTTTTTTCAGATTTTTTCAGATTACCTAACGCACCTTTTGAAGCCAAAAACCGATTTTTTTGACGAAAATAATTTTTTTAGGACAGTACGGAGCCTCGAAAAATCTGAAAAAAATTTTTTCTTGTTTTTTTCATCAAAATACGTAATCTCAAATTTTTTCAGATTTTTTAATTGAAGGCGATAGCTTCTAGGGCCGAAAAATGCTATTTTTAACAAAAAATGGTTCCTAGAACCCGATGGTTCCGGTGAAAAAATTTGAAAATATTTTTTTTGAATTCCTTGTCAAATTTTAATAAATTTTGACCGTTTCAAAAGTTCGATTGAAGCTTCCTAGCTCATTTTAGAGCAGGACAAAGATTAGTGCAAAATATCTGAAGACGTTTCTGAAGACATTAAGGAATGATAAAACTCGTTTGATGCTCTAAAATGAGCTAGGAAGCTTCAATCGAACTTTTGAAACGGTCAAAATTTATTAAAATTTGACAAGGAATTCAAAAAAAATATTTTCAAATTTTTTCACCGGAACCATCGGGTTCTAGGAACCATTTTTTGTTAAAAATAGCATTTTTCGGCCCTAGAAGCTATCGCCTTCAATTAAAAAATCTGAAAAAATTTGAGATTACGTATTTTGATGAAAAAAACAAGAAAAAATTTTTTTCAGATTTTTCGAGGCTCCGTACTGTCCTAAAAAAATTATTTTCGTCAAAAAAATCGGTTTTTGGCTTCAAAAGGTGCGTTAGGTAATCTGAAAAAATCTGAAAAAAATTGAGGTTATGTTTTTTAATGCGAAAAATAACTGAAAAAATTTCCGAGTACTACATCGGCTCATACCGCCGTATCTCGATTTTTGAAATTTTCAATGATTTTATCTGAAGGCCTGAAGCACTCAAAAAATCTGAAAAAATTCAAGGTTGTTTGGATTGTGGAAAAGTATTTTTATGAATTTTTTCAGATTTTTTACTTGCTTCATGTCCTCAGAAAAAATATAGATCGAAAATGGACGTTTATACCGGAAGTGGGGGGTAGGAGGGGGGAGGGGGTCTAAAAATTTTTTTTTGGGACCTTTTTACCATGTACTATAACATACCAAAAGCGCGTCAAGATCGGTGACATACGTGCGCACGGTTTTGTAAAAAAGTATTATTTTGACCCATATATATAATATTTTATATATATATACGGACATCACACATTCATAGTGAAGTTTATTAGCATTACATAATCCGGAACTAGAGCTTTTTAAACACTCTTCTTAATTATTAATTTTTTTTGTATGTATAAACAATGTACATTAAGTAACATTTTGCCCTTTTATAAGCAAAAAACCCTTTATTTTTCATTATCTCTCTTTTATGTGCTGCAGTGCAGTGGCCTCTTCGATCTGCTGTTTTGGCCTCGTTCGCGTGTCGACGTTTTATATCTTCCTGCATTTTATCGATAATTCTTACAGTAATTATTAAGTTATACAATAAAGCTATACACAAATTTTTTTTACTGCTCCTGTCTAGAAAGTCCTTGTTTTTTTTCGTTATTTTTTTTTCGCTACTAAGAGAGACTCTATCCAATCGTTTATACGGACCGAGATCAACTATTCGATCTAGAAGTACACGTTTTCTCCGTGATTTTTATCATATATATTTTTTATAATACTGCTTCATTTTTTTTAATCGTCAGTATGCGTAAGAAAAATTTTGATTTTCCTTAGAGTCTGTAAAAAAGATATATTTTACAATGAAAATCCAAAAGTTCTCACGTCTATTTTATCCACATTGATTGCACATTATTATTTTTAGTCTCTCGATTCCCATAAATCTCAGTCCTAGAATATTTTCGAAAAGCACAAAAGTTCATATTCCATCGAGAGCAAATATATATTCATATAATATATATAACTGCGTTGTTTATTCGGCTTTACATAACTAGATTCGAATTAAGACATATGTTTTTTTGTTTTCTTTTATTTTATTCATTATAAATGCTTAAAAATATAAATTGCGTCCTTCCAAGGCTCATGGCAAGGGTGTCGGATTTTCTTCTTCACTCGTCGCCACAACGACCATCACGAAAAACCTGAACGAATATCATCGGTGCATAATAAGTTACAGGTGAAGTTAGCAAATATAACTAACGAGTCTCCGAATTGGGTCGCATAAATTCAATGACTGCACGTTTGAATTTTAAACTGCAGCAATACAATAATTATAATACATTATACAGGAGACAATCACATGTACCGTGTGTTATCGCTTGTCTTTTTCTTCTAATATAGGAACTTTTTCGATTTTTTGTTTTTTATTCACGAATTGAACTTCCTTCGTTTTTTTTTTTTAATATAAATTGATACTTAAGATTACAGCTAAAATCGATTCTTCATCCGTCACCCTTTCCATTGCGCGTTATTTAGACTCTTATGGACAAATCTTTTTTTATTTTCGAATCATCACGACTGTAAACTGTTTTGATAATTATTTACAAATTTTAGCTAATGCTCAAAACAAGCGAAATTACAAAGAAGCCATTTTCTTTCCTTTTTTGTTGTTGTTGTAAAATTGCATTATTTACCGGGTATTCAATTGAGTGCAATAAACCAATTTCAGAGCAACCTTTTTTTACCCTTTCCTTTTAATCTCTCGACTCGTTATATATCATACACTGCTCTAAGAGCATTAATTTATGAAAAGGTCGAAAAGTTAATATAGAATAATCGGAGTTTTGTCGAAGGAATTAAAAAATATGTTTACGAGCCGCTGGCTCAAAAGCTCTCTTACATTATTTTATATTTATAATTTTTTTTTACTGTACGTTTGGTTTCTTGCAATTTTTCGGCTCTTCGTTTTCACTTTACACATCATTAAGTTCTCTAGAATTATGTGCTGCAGCGTAAATCTTCGCCGCAAGCACCCATTGATGATTTTCCTCCGTTTCAATATAACTTTCATTTACACGAATAATTTTTTAGCATTTTCCATTTGTTATTTTTTGTCCGATCGCGCCTGAAGACATTAGCAAATGTTGTTAGTAGAGTTAGTCACTTTTTTTATGATAAGTTAATTTTAGACTACATGAATGTGTACTCTTCAATCTTCATACGTATATGAATATATATATTTTTTTCAACATTGATGACGCATATCTATTATTATTAATAAAAACTGTCAAATTTTTTTGGAATGGATTCTAAAAAACGTCAGGAAAACCATTTTGGCTTGATATTCATATAATTTTATTAAAATCAGTTCTCTGAGGCCGATAGAACAAAAAAAGGCTCTTGCCTGTTATGTATATTTATAATTATGTATAAGACATCAGCTAATTATGTATATCAAGGACCTCTTCGTCTATACCCTGTGCAAGTCGATCATTTTTTAATAATTTTTATTCTTAATTTATTTCAACACATTCTGCAAATGACAAATCAGAATTCTTACTGTTTAGTTCACTCTAATGCGCGGTACTTCATTTCAAATAATTATGTGTGATAGTGTTTCTCTTCGTTACAAGAGATTAGACACATTTTCATATGTATTAATCATTACAATCATTTAGTATTTTTATATATATAATATATTTATATATATAATATTTTATTTTATATTTATTTATTTATTTATATATTATATATAACTATCTATATATATTTATAATTATTTATAATCACGCCGATGCATTGTCTTCAAAAAAGCAGGAGCGTCGATATAATTATGCTACGCGAATCGAATAATAATAATAACTTCGTATGTACACGAAAAAATTGAAAATGGCTCGTAACCCGTCAATTCTTTTGTGTACAAGCATATGTAATAACGCTACCAAAAACGCAATAGAATATAATATAAGGATATATAAACGTAACGTCTCATCTTCTTCATCGTCTTATAATGCTAATGTTTTATAACGCGATTATAATCATTATTTATTTACGGTTTTCATAACATAATACATCGGATGTATATAACGAATCACCGAGTTACCACTGGTATTAAATACAATAATATAACGGTAAATAAAAGTGACTTGGGTCGTGTTCGTAGGGTTTGTTAAATAAAAAAGAATTGGCTTGAATGCCCAGTTGACGACGCAGCAATGTGAATAACTCGTCGCACAAATAAAAACCAAGTACACTGTTCTTTAAAGTGATACAAAAAATTAACAACACAGTTGAAAGCTTCGATATTTTGATTAAGATGCTTTTTATAAAGACTTAAGCATAATTTGTAAAACTATCGTAAATCCTAGAACGGCTCTTGATTCCGAGACAATTATCATTCGAATCTTACAAAAAAAAGCTTAATCGATAAAGAGTATTACTACGTAAAATATCGTCTTATTCTTAATCTTCGCAGATTGCGACTAACTATATGTATATTTATTTATCGGCTTCGCAGCCAATTGAAGAGATATTGCACGTTTTAAGTTAGAAGAGAAAATACACCCACCCACGATCTTGCGGAGCGAAACGTTTTATCTTTTGAATGCGAAATTAGAAAAATTTTTCTTCGTTGCAACGCTTTGATTTACTTTTTTTCGCACGCGCGTCGAGCACCAAATGTTCATCGATTATTTTTGTCTCTGTCGTTATACCCATGAATGAGTAAGAAAGTATCAAATCAACAAGTATATAGTATAGCACCATCAATTGTAAAGAAAGCAAACTTTGAAAAAATGTCAGTCTTTTCATAACTTTGCTCGATTACAAACGAGATTATATGGAAAATCAAAACATATATCATTAAAAATATTGCACTCAAGACGAAATTTACATTGATATGCTTGAAAATGAACATATTTCCAAATATATCCATTATCGTGACGCATGTCAATACGGTCTCACTCGTTCTCTTACAATATTCAATCATTACTAATGATAGATAACATCCGAACAATCCAACGATTGTCGTTTCTTTAAAAAAGATCAACGCCCACCGCGACGGCGATAGAAGTAGAAAACATGATTCTATATTACAATTCGCAATAACAATTATTATTTAAAAAAGATAAACAAAAAACCACGCGGGACCTTTGATGACCCCTTCTCATCAGTCTTTCTATATGATTCAACTTCGCCTCGTCCGATTTCGCTCCTGTAAAATCGTGAGCGGCGCGTACTTTGCTCACTTTGCGTCTTTCTCTCTTCGCGTGTTGTTGTGTGTGTATTTAAAAGTGTGAGAGTGTGTCTGTGTACGTGTATCGGTGTATAGTGCGTGTCAGTGTGTGAATGAGTGTAAAAATACACAGTAGTACGGTAAAAAACATCACGTTACATACAATCAAGCCCTTTGACATGTACACTTATTAATAATAATCGATGCATTATACACGCGCGCATTGAATTAATTTAATATATTTTCTCGACGTTACATCCTACCTATGTAGTAAAGTTTGAAAAAGTTGCGCCAAGGGGGAGGCCCCTTTGGCGCGACCAAATTTTTCTTCTTTCAAATTATTACGAGCAGCTCTCCTCGTTACAGATTATCGGGTGCGTTCATGTAGTCGCGCGACGACGACGAGGAAGACGTCGCTCTCGCGCCACCAGCAGCGTTGTCCGCATTACTCCCGGGTATCTGCCAGATCGAGGACTATCATACGCCGTCGTAGCCGGCCAGATCGACCGGCGGCCTGCTCGACGTCTGCTGCTGCAAGTACGAGGGCGGCGTCGACGAGGTGGCCGCCACGTCGGGACTGCTCACGGCGCCGTAGCCCTGATACGTGGGCTGAGGCGCGTGTATGGTGCCAGGCGACGGCGCCGACGAGTAGGCGTCGAAGGAGCTCGCGTACGGCGAGCTCTGGTAGCCGTAGGGATTGCCCATCGGATGGTGGCCGTGCAGGGACGGATGATGATGGGGATGATGGTGGCTCGGCGGCATCGCGGGATAGCCACGCTGCATGAGACTAGATTCGAGGCCGCCGAACACGTAGCCGTTGTTCGAGCTCGCCGCGGACATAGGCACCGGATAGTGCGGCCCGGGTATGACATTGGAGTACTGGTGGTGCTGCTGTTGCTGCTGCTGATGGCTCATACTGTTGCTCGGCGTGTAATTGCTCGAGGCGAGGTTCTCCACCGTGTAGGACTTGCTGTGTTGTTGCTGCTGTTGTTGCTGTTGTTGCTCGGGCTGTTGCTGCTGCTGTCTGCCAGCCATACCATAGGCCGGACTGCTGTAGCCGCCGTCGCTGCTGCCGTATATGCTCGTCTGAGTCGACAGCGGTGGACTGTAATTCGTCTGTTGGCCACCGCCTATCGACGACTGGTACGCCGACATGTATTGCTGCTGCTGCTGCTGTTGCTGCTGATGCATGCTCGAGTCCAATTTGTCCTGCAGCGACTCGTCACCGCCGCCCATGTGACCGCCGTGACTCAGCCTCTGACCGCCGCTCTCGGCTATACTGGGTATCTGGTCGACCAACGACTCGAGATCGCTCAGACTCTTGGACGCCACGTCTTGGCCCGACGATCTTTTAATACCTACAGTCGTAAAAAAACGTGTTATATTACGAAAATCAGTGAATGAGAATTAGTAGCGTTGATCGACTTACCGTACTGCTCGTGCGGGTGTGGCGACATCGAATGGGTGGGCGTGTGCTGCTGCTGATGACTGTGCGGCGGTGTCGGATGCGAGTGATGCGAGTGCTCGTCGCTCTGACTCATGGGCGTCGGCGCGCCTTGATGCTGCTGCTGCTGCTGCTGTTGCTGATGCTGATCCTGTTGCTGCTGTTGCTGTTGCTGCTGCTGTTGATCATGGTAACCCATGTAACCACCGTAGGCCGGATGCGACGGTGTGCTACCCGCTGGACTTCCGTGATCCGGATTGTACTGGGACTGCTGCTGTTGCTGCTGTTGCTGTTGTTGCATCGCCGCCGCATCGAAATCCGAGTGCTCCATACCGGGATTGCCGCTACCCGCTCCACCCTGTACACCGGGCGACGTCAGCGGCGACGGCTCGCCCATGTTGTTGTCCGACGACATGGCCGTGTTGATCTCCGAGGAGAGATCCGAGTGGCTGTAGGACATGGACAGGGACTTGGGGCTCTGGCTGTAGTGCTGCAGACTGTGCACGGGGCTCTGCTTGTTGTACGGACTGTCGGCCATACCAGCGTTGCCGCCGCCGTAGTACGCCTGCTGCTGCTGCTCGCTCATCGACTGCTGCGGATACGGGGCCATGTGGCTGAACGGCTTGGGCGGTGACATCATCTGCGAGGAGAAGCAGCTGGCCATGCCGCCGTAGCCGTCGGACATGGGTCCACCTGGGATACCTCCGCCCATCTGGTGATGATGCTGTTGCTGCTGTTGTACGGCAGCGGCCGCGGCTGCAGCCGCTTGGTACTCGCGTTCCTTGGCCTCTCGCTCGGCCTGCTTCTGTTGTTGGTGGATCTTCTTGGGGCGACCGCGACGCTTCTTGATCATTTCGCCGTTGGCGTCGCACTTCTCTACATCAGCGGGTGGCAGCTCCTCTGGATTCTTGATCTTTTTCGGTCTGCCTCGCTTCTTTTTGCCGGGTATCAGGCCTGGCTCCTGCTTCACTATGACACCTGAGAACACAAACAATTCGGCAGGGGGTTAAAACGAGAAAAGGTTCTCACTACTGTGCTTTTCAACTCTGTCGGAGCAAGTCGGACCAAACGCGCCTTCGGCTAGTAGTTGCGCGATGGTCGGGCCTCACCGACGAAAGATCGAAAAAACAAAGTACCGTCGACGAATAGACCTTCACCATCGTAATCCTCGTAAGCCGCCGTCACGCCGCCCAGCGGTACTTTTTTGTCCTCGCTGCCGAGCAGTCCGCCGCCCACGCCGCCCTCGTGCTCGCGCTTCTTCAGCTTGGTGTCGGCGAACACGATGTCGGACTCGTCCAGGTGCGTTATCGTGCCATTGAGATAGTCGCGGAACTTTTTCAGGGCCGCGTAGTACGGCACCTTGTCGGCGGCGCGCGGCAACTGTGCGCAGCGCGCGCTGCTCGATGGCATAACCCACATGTACTGTAATAATGATAATTATAAAAAATTAAATAAACAACAGAAAAAGTTGAAGGAAAAATTTTTGTTTATTAATAAAAATCCTTACTGTGCTGGTGCCTTCGAGTAGCTGGGGCTGTCTACCGAAACCGAACTCCTTTTTGCCGGAAAAAACTTCGTAAATTAGCTTGCCGTTGAACACGGCGATTTTGGGCTTGTACTTTTTTAACTTCTCTAAAAGTATAAGGCTTCCTGCAACATTGCGAAAGAAAAAAGGAGATATTAGTTAATTATCGACTATAGTGGTACTTCCTCGCACAAAGTTGATCGATATAGCGAAGCATTTTATCGTGTACATAATAAAAAAAAGCATATCGCGATTTCGTATACCATACGAGTCGTATCGGGGTGATCGGTCGTCGTCGGCGCATGCCCAGCGACAAAGAATAAATTTTCACAAAAGAGAGAATACACTCAAATGCACAGTTTATTAAGCAATTTGTCACTTGGTTGTCGTACGATGCAGCGTAGTTCGATCGTGTACACATTTATGCACACACGGATGCAGTATCATTCACGGTATCAGCTTGAGCTTTAAAGTGTACGCTTCCGTAAGAAATCGTATTATACGCTCAACTGTTTAATAGTTGCACGAGGCGCTCTCTCTCCTGTATATACCACTCGGTGCAAATTATAAAGCGAGAGAGAGAGAGAGAGAGAGAGAGAAAGAGAAAAGCCGCTATATGCAGCGCGCGATCGAGCTCGAGAGCACTCGAAAAGTATGAAAAAAAAGAGGAGGAGGAAATGAACGAACGAGCGAGCGAGCGCGCGTATTATTTATCTCATCAATTCGCGGGGGAGTAATCAAACGGTCATCGGTCTCTCTCTCTCTCTCTCTCAGCTTGTGTATACACAATATACTATACTATATAGAAGCGCAGCGCGCGCGCCTGCATACATGTATCTAAGACGCGGCAGCGGTGAGAGCTCGAGAGAGAGAGAGAGAAAGAGAAGAGGGGAATGAATGGATTGAGGGCACCTGTTGTTCCGCGACCTCTTCTCTCTTTTCCCTCTGCTTGTACGTAGTTCGGAATATATATATATATGTACAGTATAGAAGCGGTAGTAGTGGTGGTTGCGCGACGAAGGGTACAGCAGAGAGAGAACAGTTAAGAGAGTCCGCGGATCCGCGAGGAGTAGCACGTGGGAGGCTTGCGCACACTCGCGAGTCAGTATAGGGGGACGAAACGACGACTACACCCCCTTCGGTGAATCGCGGGTGGCGCGGACTTTGTACCACCACCGCGCACGAGCTTCTTCTTTTTGCGTGTGTGCCTCGTTTTTCTTTCTTCTCTCTGTTTGTTTCATTTTAACTCTTGATTTATCGCGCGACGACGAGACGTCGTAGTATAAATATAGCGCACGAGTAGTACAGTGACCCGTTTTATACGTGTACGAGTAGTTTTTTTCTTTTACGAACCTTCTTTGATTTCTTTACGGGTGAGATCGGCGCTGCCTTTGGTGGCCCTGGCCACCATGTTCGTGAAGCCGATGCCGAGGCGCAACAGTTTGTAGTCATCGTCGGCTGTTAATGGCTCTGGTGTCAGGCCGCTCAGATGTAGACACTTCCCTGCAAGCAGACAAGAGAAAAAAGCAAAATGAGTAAAAGATATTGAAAATGAAAACAAATTAATAATGTAATCAAATCCAATAATTGTAGATAGTAATCGATATATTAAGTAATCGATCCGCGGTCGTTCAACTCTCGCCGCCTCTGTCACTGTTTACTCGCTATCTCTAACCAATAATTGATTTATATCCATACGCGTCGAGACATTGTCGTCGAACGCCAATTACGATATAATACGGCCGCTAAGCCGCACACGCGCCGTGATCACCGCCACGCGCACATGTCTGACTAAACTTGAACCCAGACTACTTGATATACGTACGTACGTATAAACTTTGTGGTGGCGTCGGCGGCGTTATACGATAATCGAGAGTAAAGGCTATAATACTCCAGCAACGTAGAAAAGAAAAAGGCTCAAGATTTACGATGCAAAAGCTTTGGTAGTACGTGTCTGCGCGTCTATATAGCCGCAGCAGCAGTCTCACTTATATATTATAAGTTTCGCGACCTAGTGTGCAGCTAGCGAGAGCTGCGAGTTTCGAGGCAACGACACCGGGGGAGGGAGAGAGCGAGGAAAATTACTCGCGACCTTGACAGAGAGAGCAGCAGTAGCTACGATATTCTCTCGCTCTATCTCTCTCGGGCTATAACGGCGTAGCAGCAGCAAACTTCGCCCAACAAAGTTAGCCGGTGAACCAAGCAGTATCGCACACTATACACCTATACGTTATAATTTAGTCTCTCTCGCTCTCTATCTCGCTCTTTCTCGTACGAGCAGCGCAAACTTGCCGCGCCAGGGCTAGTAGTAGTAGTAGTAGTAGTAGTAGTAGTAGTAGTATAAGTCTAAGGAGAGAGAGAGAGAGAGAAAAGAGAAGCGCAGAGAAGATGAACGAACCACCATCGCGCGTATACGTACGTACGTAGTATACAGTATATAGAGCTTCTCTCTCTCTCTCTCTCTCTCTCTACTTGCCAACAGTTCTCCAACAAACTTTATCGAGACTAGACTTTCTCTTCTGGGGCTGCTGGAATACCGATACACACGCAAGCTCGCTCGCACGTGTATATATAAGTAGTAGTATACAGTCGCAGCGGCAGCGGCCTCAAACTTTCCGATTGTACAACACTTCTCTCGTGTGCAGCGAAGAAGTTCTTTTTTTTTTTTTAAACTTTTTCTTTTTCCTTCTTCTTCTTCTTCTTCTCCTTTTGCGCGCGAAAACTTTTGCTCGGAGCAGGGTTCACCGAAACTGACTGACTGCTGCAAGCTTGCTACAAAGATGCGCCGTCGCAGAGGCATTATATAGCCAGAGAGAGTTCATGTTCGACTCTTCTTCTCTTTCTCTCTGTCGCTCTCGGTCTATATTCAACTACGCAGGTCAAAACCTAGTCGGTGAGCTTTCGTCAACCCCTGCTGCTGCACTGGCTGCGTCTAGGAGGAAACTCTATAGCGTTTACATCCCGAAACTTTTGGGTAGTACAGAGAGATACAAGATACGCAGTTTTAGGTTCTCCTCTATGTATGTGTGTGCGTGTATATCGTGTTCCTCTTTCGCCATACTATATATACGCGACTACTACGCGTTAAGCGCGATGAGCTTTTAGGTAAAAAGCTTCGAGCTCGTTACTATACACACACACACATATATATATACAACGGGGATTGGCCAAACGGGAAAAGAGACGCGCGGCACGGGACATGCATCCACACACATACACACACACATGAAGACAGATCATACACAAATACATATACAGTGTACGCGTGTACGTACGTACGAGTGCAGGGAATATGAATATGTACTTAGTGCTAATGGATTTTGTCGGATATGTATGTTTCAGCTCGCTCTCTGTCTCTCGCTCGCTCTTTTACTCGCTGTCGGATACATATCTCCGTGTGTTCTCTCTCTTTCTCTCTCTCGCGAGCGATGCGTGTATACGTATACATGGCATGGCGCATTTATATATAAGCACAGTTAGCTCGTACGTACATGTCAATGCTCGTATGCGAGTGAGCGAGAGAAAGAGAGAGAAAGAGAGAAAACGGGAAAAGGGGGAGAAGGGGGGTTTAACACGATGATTACGTACCGTATATAACGGTTGTACATACACGCGTATATATACAGTACACGGGTTTATGCAGCGAGCAGAGCTACCAAAAAAATCCATTATCCAGAACACGAAAAAGAGCTGTATCGAACGCAGCAGCAGCGACGAGAACCCCCTGACGAATAATTCGCATGGATGGATGGATCACACGTTCTAGCTCTACTACTGCGTTTTATATGAGTGTTTCTGACTAACTTTTAAAATTGCACGTACTGATGTGTAAGTCAGGTAATTTACCATGCACAGTTCTGAAATTTTATCAGGGTCTTTAAGAAGACTTGAGAGATCTACACTTTTATTTTTGAGCGTTTTGGTGGCCCGTCCTTTTTGTATCGCACGTTTGAAAATCGATTTTACTCTTGAGTCAAAAAACGTACTGCGAATAAAATAAATTTTCGATAGCTTCTTAAAAAATGGACTATTAACCAAATGATCTGAAATTATCATGTTACCTTCCTTTATTCACATACTTTAGAAAAATTTGTGACCTGAACTTGATCCTCCTAAATTGGAAATTTCCCAGAATGTTTTCCGCGCGTACTGGATTATTTGAACTTTTAGCTTTTTTTATACATTTTCATTTTTTACAATGGACTATTGTTTTTTTTTATATCTGTATACATGTTTAAAAAGGGCTGGAAAAGACGAACAAAATGAGCCCAACCAGAACTCTGTCCCTTATTTAATAAGAATTGTACGCTGGATTGAACATTCGATAATCCTGCGTTAATCACTTAAAAATTTTTGAAAAAAATTTTTTTTTCATGAAATTTTTTTCTACTATGAATAAATTAATTAATTTATAAAAAAAATTTTTTTCATGGGAAATTTATAAACAATTTTTATAAACAATTTTTTTTTTTCATGAAAAATTTTTATAAATATATTTTTTTTCATGAAAAATTTTTTTCTTATCATGAATAAATAAATTATTCAACAAATAATTTTTTTTCACACACTTTCTTTTTTTATTTAAAAAATTTTGCTATATCATCAAGGGCAAGGCCGTAAAAAAAAAATTTTACATTTAATTCATTTATAATGACTACGCAATTCGCCTACGTAGATAATTATGTGCGGGATGATATAAGTAATGTCACATGAAAACACATGAAAGAAAAAGGGGTTTTTTCGCTTCAAAAAGTGCATAAGGAAACTTGAAAAAATCCAAAGAAATTTAAGGTCATGTTTTTCAATGCATAAAACAGAGAAAAAAATTTTCGAGTTTGATATTGGCTCGTATCGCCGTATATAAATTTTCCAAATTTTTAATTATTTTATCTGAAGGCCTGAAGCCCTCGAAAAATCTGAAGAAATTCAAGGTGCTTAGTTTTGTTGATATGTACTATTATGAATTTTTTCAGATTTTTTAATTACTTCAGGGCTTCAGAATGAATATAAATAAAGAATGGACGTTTATAGGGGTGGAGGGGGTAGGAGGGGGGGATGGGGAGTAAAATTTTGGCTTTAGGATTTTTTTACCATGTACTATAACATATCAAAAGCGCATCTAGATCGGTGTCATTCGAAAATTTGAAGAAGTTTTATTTTGACCCACATTTAAATCGGGTTTCCCAAATGGACTATGGAGGAAAATAAAGCCCAAAGTTATTTTTGGGATTCTTTGTTGATAATATTCAAGAAAAATTCATTCCGGATACTGTGCCGCTAAATTTTTCATCAAAAATTTTTTTAGGCGTTATTTTAAAAGTTAGTCAGAATCACTCATATACGATCACTGTACGAGTTTCGGGCTCGTGATCTTTGGTTCGGAGCCTTTTTTTCATCATTATAAGCGGCGATGATTGCAATAATAATGCTTCGACCGATATATACGTATACAGTTTGCGCGTTTATTCTGGCACGCGTCAATCTTGTGAAGGATACGCGCGTTCCACGAAGGTACGCAGGTACGTACGTACGCGTTTTCCTATGTATACAACGCGCGTATGTATAAGTAAAAGCGTCTATATAGATATATACGCCCATATAAATCGCTGCGGGCATATAACTCTGCACAAGAGCTTTTTCGCTCTTTCAGCCGTATTCGCTCACACGCACACACATATACACGCCAACAGACATATATAATACGGACACAGACGGCTTCTCGTATACTGTGTGAGCTTGCATATATAGGTATAGACACACACACACGTTTGTCAGAGAGAGAGAGAGAGAGAACATACATACGCACTCGCGTTTCGCAAGCTCGCAGAGGGAGAAAGAGAGAGAGAGCTTATATACATGAATTCGTTGTTCCCAAAAAATCAATAGCTCCGACGAGTCCAAGATTTTCGCTTTTCCAGTTCTGTATACGTACGCAGATTTTGGTTTTTCTTCCATATGTGCTTATATTTTTCTCGTGCAAAAATATTAATGAACGAAACCGATCGCGAGCGAGACGATCTTTTTTTCTCGCTCGCTCGCATGCGCGCGCGCGGACAATTGCGATAGGCTGCTGCCTGCCGCGGCCGAAGGGCAATCGGTTCGCTGATACGCGCGAAAAAAATCTTTTCCAATTGGAATTCATATTGATTCTAGGTTAGGTTCAACGAGCTAAAATATATTATATATCAGAAGTCTAAAAATTCTACCAACTGCTCCAATACACGCGTACTCTCGCACCGCAATGTATAAGCTTGCGTACAATAGTACGTACAAGCGCGAGCGTGAGATAATCGATCGTTGTACGCACGCATCTGCGTACGCTGTGCACATGAATTTGCAATTGTCCCATGATAATGTGCCAAATTAATGCTTCGACGATTTCAAAAGATCGCAAATTCTAACGCGCGCGCTGGTTGCACGTACACGCGCGAGAGAATCGCGACACACGCGCACATCGTATACATATTATAGAAATATCGAAAAACCAAACGAGAATTAACATAGTCTCGCACGCGCCACTAATTAATTACAATAATAACGATGAATAATGCAAGCTGAGCATTTATATTATTATATACGCGCGTGAGCTTTGTGACTGGCGCGCAGTAGCAGCAGCACCTTTGTATAATACAGTGCCAAGGATCCTATTAGCGTAATCGCAATTGTTTAAAGCGCCTCTCGTCGTGATGACGATTTGACTGGAAAGAGGCGAGAAAGTTTACATAGGCAGTAGTTACTCTTTATTCGTTTTTTGTCATGTACCACTGCGCGTATACTTTTTTAAAAGCTTCTATTGCGTGCGTATCGAGAGTAAGAGAGAATAATAATATAATGGTTCACCTTTTGGCAGAAAAAGCTCTCTGTCTGCTCTACTGATGCAAGTTGGAGCAACGCTGTGACTCGTTATTCTGCTCCATCGAGCGCTTCTTCTCTATTATTTTTTCTCGTTGTTGCTGTTATATCGTCGTTGTCAAATCAACACGCACGCACGTACGAAAAATAACCGTTTCTAACTCACTCGCCAGTTTTCTTAATCTATCTCGGCAGCCTGGCTAAAAACTAGGATTACCAGTAACAACAACAACGGCACACAGAAACAGCCAAGACATCGAAGAGGAACTTTTTTAGCAATGACAACAACAACAACAAAACTACCTAAAAACGCACAGTTCTACGCACTTTTACACACAGCACTCGCCGTAATAGAATATCAAAGTAAATTCGGGTTTCCTTTTTCGAACCAGAGAGTAATATAACACACCGAGTAGCGCGCAGTGCACAGTAAAAGCTCACTACTAGCAGCGGAAAATATACGGGCTGCTGCTACTTCGGCTTCGGTTGCTGCTGCTGCTGCTGCTGCAGGATCGGACCGGGCAAGCAACGACAAAACAACTGACGACCCACATACTCTCTTCTCGTTGGGTTGGCTGCTCCTTTTTCAGCAGTATATAGCTATGGCACATCCCTCCTCTCGCTCGCTCTGGCTCGACACACGCAGTAGCAGTAGCAGCAGCAGCCGCTCCTCTCCCTCCCACGCTTCACCTACCCTTCTCTCTCTTCATCCCCGGGAGTAGTATCCTCCTCCTCCGCCTCCCTCCGCCCACCCACCCTTCATTCTCTCTCTCTCTCTCTCGCTCACGCGCTCGTTCGCTCGCTCAACTCTCTGCTGTACTGTGCTGGTTGCTGCTGGCTGCTTCTCTCTCTCTCTCTCTCTCTCTCTTTATCTCTATCTCGCTCACTCCACTCATTATGTAGTATATATCTGTATGTCTATGTATATAAAAATATATATACCCGACTGCTTGTATTTCATATACATGTATAGCACACGAGGATGGATGCATCGCAGATTCGACCCTTTCCTCTTTTCGCCCTCTCTCTCTCTGTTTTCAACTCTTTGCCGCGCGCTACACACAGTCATGCCGGTTACCATTGCTCTCTTTCACTCGCCGAGTATTATATAGCCCCGTGTATAATATGCGTACATGTATTTGCACATATAGCCAGCAGCCAGTTACTGAAAATCGATCCTACTTTCCACTTACATACATATTATGTACACGTATTTATATTATTTGAACATTCACGGTACGTGCAAGCACACATACAGAATCAGAAATGAACACGTTTGAAAATTTAAATCCCAAAAATATACGTATGCTTACACGCGAGAGGTAGTACAACTTTCTCGCAGCAGCAGCAGGCAAGTATCAAAAGGCTCTTATTATCTATCAATGTATTATGTGTGGGCAAGCACAAGTATATAAGAGCGAAAAAAATCGAGTGATATGAAAAATCGGACACAGTACGCGCGACGGCAGTAACAGCAGTAGAGTACAGCAGCAGCAACAGCAGCAGCGCGAGCGAAAAAAGGCATACAGACACACGCGTGGGCACGCTCGCAAGCTCTGCCGTGCGGAGCGAAGCTTATACTTTAAAAAGAGAGAGCGAGCGAAAAAAAGAAGAAAAGTGCGGAGCTTAGAGGCGAGCGAGCTTGCGAGCGAAAGCTCGTGCAGAATCACGTTTGCGCAGGACTAAACTGCGATTCAATACCGTGATTATCTTCTTTTTTATACATATTTTTTATTCTTTTTTCGCTCTCTCTCTCTCTTTCTATACTTTTTTTTCTTTACGACCTTTTCTCTCGTTGCCACGCCGTCGGGCGCGCGCGTGCATAGATGTGCGAATGAATTATTCATTCCGCCTAGTATTGTGCTTACTTATGCTGTCGCGATGAGTACGACGAGAGAATGAGAGAAAGCGCAACGGCAGTAGTGCGCTAGCCATACGTGGTAAAGGATTATAATTAAATGGTAAAAAGTATAGGGATTACTAGATCCGAGTGCCACAAAATGCGCGCGCTGCCGAGTCGTCAAAAATGTCTCTCATGACGACGACTAAGCGTGTGCTACTTTAATTCACAATTATCGGATTATCAAAACTGTGCGTGTCTTTTGTTTTACGAAATCCTAAAAAAAAAAATTCTTCGACGCACTCGATTTTCATTGAGCTCGTTCGTACGTAGCTATGATGCATAATCTTTTTAATAAATATATAAATAAGCGCACGTGCACTTACGCGAAAAGCGCCTCCGAAAATCTAACTGTTCATCCATAATTCAAGTCGTACACGCTTTGCAAGCTCGATTTGCACGCGCTCGTGCTTTATGTATACACACGCGCGCGGGCTAGAAACTACTGCTATACGCACTCGACGCGATGAAAGAAAAAAGAAAAGAAAAAAATGAAGGTGCTAATTTAATAAAGCCGGGTGAGAGCGAGAAGCCGGTTAAAGAGGAAAACGCGTATATGGCTTTTCACATCTGGGACTCGATAAATCACTTGCGCGCGAGCCGCTACTGCTACAGTATGCGGTGCCGCGAAAGAGAAAGAGAGAGAGAGAGAGCCACAGCGCGCGAAACGACTTGAACTTGAGCGCATTGCCGAATCAGCCATAAATCAAGAGAGAGAGAGAGAGATCCCCCCCGCACCAACCCCCCTGCGCCAAGGTTAAAAGTCTCTTTACGGTCTAGCGATTTATTACAAACATTACGTAATAGAAACGACGTAGCGTAGGATATATAGAGTTAGCATATTGTAATGCAGGGGCGTATACACGGACTATAGAGCAGATAGTACAGTAGCAACTGAGAGAGAGAGAGAGAGAGAGAGAAAAGGCAGGTAGGAAAAAGTCAGCCTCGCGTATATAACGCGCTCATCCCTGCTGCTGTAGCTGCTACTGATGCTGATGCAAGCAACTGCACATATAGCTAGTAATGCCTTTATATACGTGTGCACTCGTGCATCGACTCGTGTATCTGTGTTTGTGTGTTCGTGGGTGTAAGGGTGGCAGCTATATCCATATAGATATATATAAAATAGCGCATAATGTAACCACCAACACACACAGGGCGCCCCGTTGTAGGGCCGCGCTCGTTGGTGAACGACAGAGAGGGTAGAGCAGAGTAGAGAGAGAGTACTTCCTCTCGTTCAAACTCGTTCTCTCTCTCTCTCTCTCTCTCTTTGTGTACGTGCTATATATATGCTGATGCTATACAGATGTATGTATACTATATAGTAGTATATGCACGGTCGAACGAAGGGTTGAAAGTTGGTTGGTAGTAATAGTAGTGGTGGTGGTTGTGTGTGTGCTGCTGCTGCTGCTGCTGTGCTGCTGTTTTCCACCACCTCCTCCCTCTCTCTCTTTTTACCCTCCACAACCCTCTTTCCCGCCGCCCGCGCCGCGCTGGGCTCCCTTTTTAAGCCCTCCCTATGAGACCAACAGCAGCAGCAGCGGTGGAATATATATACGTATATACACAGGAATACACAGTAGGGCGCCTCTCAAACCCCCCGGAAAGAGAGAGAGAGAAAGAGAGGAAGTGGAGGAAAGAGGAGGAGCAGGAGGACTAGCTGCAGCTACGCAGCAGCAGCAGCGGCAGTAAAGCAAGCTTTTGCCATATACCATATACTATACCCAAATATACGTATATAAATATATCTTGCATATCTGCTCACCGACGACCTCTCTATGTATCCTGGCGGCATTAGCCCTAACGCGTGTACGTTCGTCTATAACCAGTACCAACCAAACTACCATACTGTATATCACCAACCAACTCATGCAGAGGGACACCCACTGTTAACCCCCTGTACACATATACGCATACCTTTTTATATAAGTGCGTGTTGGTTGCGCGTACCTAAGTATATATGCTAGGCTAGACGCGAATGAACGCGCGCCCGACCCTCGCCGCCGCCGCCGCCACTCATTATGGTTACACAGCGTATCGCGCGGCGCGCTCGTGCCTACCTACCTCACTCGTTCCCCTTTAGCCCATGCGAACTGCTATATGTGTACGTATGAGTATATGAGTTATAAGCATACGTGTGTGTATGTACCCTAGAGCACCAGCCCTTCGTCTATAGAGAGCTACTGCACACACACACACACACACACACACACACACACACACACACACACACACACACACACACACACACACACAGAAAGAGAGCTCGCTATAGCTAGGCTAAGCAACGTATATTGAGCTTCGCACATCTGCGTGGGTGATGCAGGCTGCTTCTCTCCCCATGTCTGTGTGTATGAAAGTGTGCGGCAGAAGAAGTAGAAGAAGCTTATACCCCCTGCTGTGTGTGTGTGTGAGTGTTTGCAAGCTGCTGCTGCTGCTGCTGCTGCTGCTGCTGCTGCTGCTGCTGCTGCTGCTGCGCGAGTAAATGAAAGAGAGAGAAAGAGAGCGAACTAGGTTTCCTAGCGACGACCGCTCGACGCCTTGAGTACTAGACGAGTACGCAAGCACGCACACACACACACCTACTAGCATGCAGCATCAACAGCAGCAGAACCCACACTTTATCCGGCTTCTATATACGTACATTACGTACACATCTATATAACTCTATGTATATATATGCTCGCGCGCCCTCGAGAAAGAGAGAAGCTTTAGCTGCTGCTGCCTTGGCTTTTCTTCTATATATCTGCAACTACTATACTGCTACTATATTGCGAGCTGTAGCTCTGCCACTGTAGCGCGAACTACTACTAGGATGCGGCTGAATCTGTATTATTATTACACGTGCGCTCATACACACGCGCGCGTACTTAGGTGCTTTCTATACAAGAGATATCTGTGTGTGTGTGCGAGTGTGTGAGTCTGGGCGCGACTAGATATAACGAGACTCGCACTTTATCTCTCGCTCTGCTCTCTCGAGCACTACATGAAGCTTACATACTTCAGAGCAAGAGAAGACGAATAAGAAGAAGAAGACGACGACGACGACGACGACGACGACGAAGAAGAAGAAGAAGAAGCATCTATGTATACGAGCGAAGCTACAAGACGCTACACGTACACACACAAATACGCGAGCTTTCTTGCAATTTGGTATAGCTACAGTATGCCGAGTCAAGAGAGACCATCGATGCCTGGTGCTCTGCTCTGCTGCTACCGACGACGAAGACGACGATCCTCTCGAGAGATACAATCTTTTCTCTACGACCTAACGTGTATAGGTACGTGGCAGCGGCGACGGAGGAGTTTTACGTGCATGCGGGAACGCAAGCACACGCAAACACGAGGATCGAAAATAGCGACGACGAAAAAAAAAAAGAAAAACGGAATCGAAACGAAAAATAAAAACCCAAGAGAGTTTTATCATTACAACCCGGCGCGAATCCAATGCAACGACGACAACGACGACGACTTTGAGTGTACGTTTAAAATTGACCAATTCTCGTATCGGGGGGCCGTGCCACGCCGCTTGATACGTATGACGAGCTTGCAAGCTCGATCGAGACACGTCGAGCGGCCCCGCGCGCACGAGAGATAAGCAGCAAATTGGTCGATTCGTTATAAAATATTCACGATACGGGCGCGCGCTTATATTTATACAAACGTAAAAAAGTGTCGGCTAATTAATTATCGCCCATTAAATAACACAAAAAATGAGATAGCGCTGCGGTATGTGTGTTAATCGTCCGCTTTATAATACCGCATTCATATATACGTGTATATAATTATAAACGCTCGTTCCAAAGCCGGTGGATACGAAGACGCGATGAGAAATATTACCATTTTCATTGGCATAAATGTACCTCTCTCTCCCTCTCTCTCTCACTTCGTCGTGTCGACGATATAATTGCCAGCTGCGCGTACCTACATTTGCACCATTTGAAAATCTCTCTTTTTCATAAATATTAACGGCTTCGAGTGCGAGAGAGAGAAGAG